CGCCAGTGCCTCCACTTCAGAAGCTCCGGCTGTTGGAGTGGGGGCGGGTCATCTCGCGAGGACCACCTCAGTTGGTCCTGGCGGTCCCATTCATTCTCCAGCGGGGAAAAATTCTCGCTCGGCTTGCCATCCGTAGCCGCCATGAGGAGGAACCATAGGCTATCCCAAAGGTCGGCCAGGTCCGCCGCGGACAAAGGCTGGGGAAGCCTGCCCGCCGCCGACGCCACCAGGCCGTTGAAGTAGTCCGTTGGTACCACTTGGTCATCTTGGCCCACCGGAATGCCCGAGAGTTCCAGGATCTGAGCGAAGCGGATGGCCGGCTCCCCGCCCTCCTCTGCCGTGCCATGGCGCAGGCACATCAGAACCAGCAGCTCCCCGTCCGTCTGTCTCGGGGAGAAGGACTCATCCGCCAACGTGTCCCACAGCACCCTTGGAATGCGGTCCCAAAGACGAGTGTAAGGCGGGCGCAGAAGAAACTTTGCAGAGACCCTAGCCATGATGAAAATGGGGGGTTCGAGCCTCCTATTGAACGGCCGGGACCCAACCGCGGCACACTGCACGCATGTTCCAACCCCACAGGATGCCGAGTGCAAGTGGGGCAGGCAGGCCACATGCAGCCCAACAGGACCCAAAAGTCAACCCCCGGAAATCCCCAAAAAGCCACGGAGGGGGGAAGACCAACCCGGCGGGGGATTCCCCAAAACCCCCAAGGGGATGTCAGGGAACCCAGAGTCAGCCGCAGCCACTTTCTCCAAACTGTGGCCGATATGGCCCGTCCTTGGGGCAGCCAAAGCGTGCAGCCTCCAGATCGAGGCAAACCGGCAGTCGTGACGCGTTGAACAGGGGGGGAAACCCAGGTGAAAGAAGAACCCAACAGGGGACACCCTTACTCCTCCCCCCACCCGAGACGGGCCAGAGGCACCCAAGTCCCGGTGGGAAGAGATCTCACGACTCCCCATCCAAAAAGGCTGTGAGACACGACCTAGCGGCTCTCACCCTTCAAGATCGCCTCCTTAGCCACCGAGTGGATGGCCGCCAGCCCTGACTTCTCCGGGTTGCTCAAGATGACCGACCACAAGGCAGTGGAGACATCCCCCAGGCCATTCGAGGAGCTGAAGCGCATGCGCGGGTGCTCGCATCGTCAAGGACTAGCCGCTCGTCCCTGGGAGGCTCTGTCGGCTCCACCCGCTTGTAGAACTCCATCCTGTCCCGGATCCACTGATTATATAGCTGCTCCGGGGGCTCGTCCATCACCAGCTGCAGGCATGTGGCCTTGTCCTTGTGCCACCCCGTGATCTGGAGCAGCCTGGTCCCCCCGCGGCTCGCCCTCCAGAAGCCCTTGCAGAACCTGCACATGTAGCCCCCGGTGGTCTTGAACTTCTCCTTGCCCACCACTTCCCAGGCGCTGATGCTGGGCAGGACCAGGCCGCACTCCACGGAGGCCCAAAACACGTGCTTCGTCTCCTTCGGGAAGTGCTTGTTGATGTACTTCCGGCCCGCGACCGCCGTGACCGTGGACGTGGTGATAGGAGGGTACCGCCTGGTGCCCTGGTCCGGCGTGCGGAGCGTGGTGTCCGCCCCCCCAGAATCTTGGCCTTGGGGTCCGATTCCTTGGCCGCTCCTCCCCCGGGGCCAGAGGCACCCAAGGGGGGGGAGCAACCCAGCTGCCTGATAAGGTCCTGGGAGTAGCCCAACCGGTCGTACAGGGCCCCCGCCGCCTCCTGCGGGACCTGCTCCACCCAGTCATGGACCACGTTGCAACGCCAGTTGACCTTGACCTCCACCATGGAGGACTTACTCAGGCCCGACACCAGCTTGGTGTACACCGAGTCGAAAGCCCTCAACGATGACAGCGGAAGGGTGATTCGCTCGTCGCAGACCGCCCTGAAACGCAGCGCCTCCTTGCTATCGTGGACGGGGGCCACTGGGATCTCCATCACCGGCAACGGGCAGTTAACGATGAAATTCTTGGCCGCCAGAAACGTCCCCATCTCCTTGAAGATGTAGCTCCATTCCGCCTTGCTGCGCGGCTTGGGGATTCCCAGGCTCTCCAGGAAGGGGACCGCCTCCTTCCTCATCTGGAGGATGTTGCCCATCCACTTGTCCGAGGCCGAGCCCTCCGCATTGCGGCCCCGGCGCTGCGTCTTCACGATCAGCGGGAAGGTGGTCCAGGCCGAGTAGATGTACTTGAAGGTGAACCTGTGGGCGTACACCCCCGTCAGGCTCGGCAGGTCCCACGTTCTCGTCTGCCTTGTCCAAAACACTCCATCGCCCTTCGCCCAGAAGATCCCCACCGCTCCGGCGCCGGGCGCTCGCCCCGGTTCACCTGCGCTCGGATCTCCAAGGCCGTGTAGATGACAGGGTCGATGTGGTCCTGCTCGCACGTGAGTGGGTGGGTCCTGCGTTCCAGGGCCAGAAGCTCCTCCGGAGTGAGCTTGAATTGCTGGTCCGCGCCCTTGGGGATCTCACCGCTTGAGTGCTTCTTCCAGATCCCCCCAAACATCCGTAGCTCGCCTTGGTGCCTCTTCATCGCCCAGAGGAGCAGGGACAGCTTGCCCTCCTCCGAGTTCAGGTCCTGCTGTGGCATTGACTGGTCCCCGGGGCCAGTGGCACCCTTGGGGGGGGCCGGTGTCGCCAGATCGGGCATCTCCTCCAGCAGCGCCTCCTGGTTCCATGGGTTCTGCGCCTCTCTGAGCCTCCTGATGTAGGGGACATACTTCTCCTTGATGTCACCCATGTTGGGGATGTCCTCGGGGTCATCCAGCTCCAGGGGGCAGAACAGCCCCCTCTCCAGTGCCTGCCTGAGATCATCTGGCCACGCCGACACTTCCAAGGGCTTGAGGGTGTGGTTAAGCATCCATGCCTGGTTGGTGTCCTGGGTGCGCTTGTTCGCCTCCTGAGCCTCCTGGATGGAGCCCATCGCCTCAGCCAGTGCCTGGCTGGCGTCAACGCCCTTCCCCTCCAGGTACTGATCTCGCAGCTTGGCCTTGAATCGCTCCAGGTTGACCTTCCTGAGGGCCCGGGCTCCCTCATTGGCCACCTCCTCTGACGGCAGGGCCTGCATGCCCTCCTGGAGAGGCGCCAGGATAGCCATCTCATTGTCCAGCATCTCGTCCGTGACCAACTCCTTGTGCCGCCGCCTGGCCGAGGACTCCTCCGGGGTCGGTTCCCGGTGCTCCCTCAAGGCCTTATGCAGCTCCTCCTTCTTCCGGATCGCCTGGTCCACCTGGGGGTGGTAGAGCTGGAAGCTCTGAGCCTCCGCCTCCTTCAGGGACCGCTGCACTTTGACCTTGACCTCCTGGTGCTCCCGGACCTTCAACGCCTCATCGTCCGCCTCCATGGACAGGATCTCCTGCCGGATGTCCACCCGCCTGTTGAGCGGGACCACGTCTGCCATGGTAATCTCCTCTGCCGTGTCCGTTTTCGGAGGAGCTCTCCCCAGGACCGTGAGGCTTCCCCCTTCCCGCTGCTGGATCCAGGTCGGCTTGCCCTCCACAATGAGCAGGTTGTACTTGACGCCGTCCGCCTCGTAGGTAGCCGAGGGTGCCTGGAAGGGGACGAACTCCTTGCCCGGGCAGACCCAGCATTGCTTGGCTGCCTCCGGCCACCCCGTGCCGCATGCCTTGCACATGAATTTGTAGTCTGAGTGGCCGGCATCGAGTCTGTGCATCCGCTGGGTGCCAATGCACGCCTTGTTCCTCTGGAACTGTGAGGCCCAGACCTCCTCCTGCCGGATCTGGATCTTCATCGGAACATAGGCCTCCAGGATGCGAATCACCAAGTCCTCCGTGAGATTCTTCCCGACAAACTTGTGGAACAGGGAGACCGCCTCCTCCACCGTGACGTCCCTCAGCAACGTGGCCGCCGATGCCGGAAGGACCGGGAAGAGGTCTGGGAGGTCCACTAACTTGAAGTAGCCGGGACGGCCCTCCACCGGCACAAGGGAGACCGGCTTGTTCACCTGAGCCGTGGTCTTCTGGGAAGCCGCCACGAAACCCTTCAGCCTCTTCGTTGGTGGAGTAGCCCGCTCCGTGGCGTCCGCATCTTCCATGTCCTTGTCCTCCTCCTCGGCGGGGCCAGGGGCACCCAAGCCGGAAGTCGGTGTGGAGAAAGCCACACGGAGACGCTCCAGTGCACTGGAGAGGTCGTTCATCACGTCGGTAGCCGAAGCCGACGGGGGGGCCTCGGGCTCGTCCAACACCAGGCCGGCCGCCACTGCCGCCTCGCGTGTGCGAATTTCCTGGGCCTCCTGGCTGGCCATTTCCACCTCCTCCGCGGTGAGCTTCTGGTCCTCAATCAGCTCGAAGGAGGTTGCCGAGGTTGCCGAGGAAGCCATTGCTAGATCGGAGTTAGTTCGGGGTGTTTTTCACACAAATTGGGTTCAAAGAACCCAGGGCAAAGCTTGAGCCAAAATGGCATGCGCCATTATGGTCAAGCATTGCCAACACAGTTCATGTTTCCACATGCGTTTCAACATTAACAAAAAAGTCTAAAGGTTCGTTACCCAATGGCAGTCAAGCTTCTATTTGGTGGTCCCGGCTTGGTGGTCCTTAGGGGCTATTCGGTTTCAAAAGGAGCTGTTCAAATACTAGAGCCCACACCATTACCCGAGGGGCACCTGAGACCTGGAGCCTCCATGACCCTTTGAAGATGGGGGTCATGACCCCCCTGATTTGGGGTACTGACCCCATTTGAGGGTCAGAAGGAGGCTCCACGCGCCTGAAGCCAAGTGAGTCATATCAAAACCCTGTATTCAGATGGCCTACCCAGAACCATGGAAAGAATTAAGAAGGCGGAATTCCGAGCTATTTATGGTTGGGATTGTCCCTTACTAACCTAACCATCTACCCGGGTTTTGATTGTGGCTCAAGTGCTCCCTGCCAACTGCCTTCGCCCTTCGTTACACGGTTATCCCTCTATTCACTCACTCTTTCATGTTCACTTCTTCCTGTTGTCCCTCGCTCCCTTCGCGAGTAAACAGGATATAGGATCCCTCCCTCCTCAAAGGACCTCTGTCTATTCCCCGAGGGCCGTGAGGAAGTCTGCGACCTCCGGCGATTGCCCGCACCAAACACACACAAAAAAAACTCTCTGCGATTCACCGGGAGGAAAACAACAAAAAAAAACAAACAGCGCCACGAAAATTGGGCTGCGCACCCGAAACGAGACCTGCCGCTTTTGCCGGCAACTCGGGAAACGCACACGTTCAAACAGACAGCTCAGGGATGAAGATTCAACCCAACAGCCAAGCGAGCATTCGAACGGGGTACCAACTTGATGAGGGGGTGCTATTGAAAGGAGACGCATGTGCCTCATTACTCGGTTGCTTTCTGCTCCCCTGCTAAAAGTTTAACTTTTGGTGAATTAATGGAAAAACCCATTAGTTGGCAAAAAGTTAAAGTCCTAACATCCAAGCAAAATGCACCAAAGATTAAGTCTTCGCCTCAAAATTGGTACCTTTAACCGTGGCTTCGTCAGGAGTCTCAATGGAAACGGCCCCATCTTGGGTCCAAGGTACCCTCGCTAGACACAAGGCATCCTCTTGAAAAAATAGAAACCACCCGCCTCCCAAACAAATGTTTTTCCGATTGGCCACCTCAAACTCAGCCAAAGGAAGCCTCCCACAAAAGAAAGCACCCCCACCCGCCATTCCACAGCGCCTGATGCTAATTGCTAAACCCCATGTTTATCATTATGGGGGTGCCCCTGAATTAGTGGGGATTCATCACTTTTGGAGGGGGACCCCATATGGTCAAAATCCCGTACCCAGTGAACATCCCAATCCCCACTAAAATAGGTTCTAAAATGGGTGGTGAATTCACCTACCCCAAAATGGATCCCAAAACGGTTTTGACCCGCAGCCACATTAAAAACCTGGGGTTTAGTAATGAAGTGCCCAGGAGGAAGACCCATTGGAAACAAGCCCTTTTAGTTGGTTCCCCTATTCTTGGTTGCTGTTGACCCCCCTGCAAAAAGTTTAACTTTGTGGGCTTGATTTCCCAAAAAGTTCAAGTCTAAAGATCCAACCCAAAAGCAGTCAAGGATTTTGGGACAAACCCATATGCCCCGCATCTGGGGCAAGCACCACAAATCATGTGTCACCAAGGTTGTGTCCTATATGTTGCCTTTGTTAACCATCGATTGGGAGACCCACATGGGTGTGGGTCAAACATAGGTACCCAAAATGGAATCCTAGTGAATGGAAAGAAGGGCTAACCAGATGTCCATATCCTTCTGTTTTTTTTGACCTATATCCACATCAACCCAATGGATGTCTCTTTTTTGAGGGGGAACCCCAAAATGGTGCTTTTCCCTTTGGGTTTCCCTTTGAAACCAAGCAAAAAGGGGGGTGTCCCACGGAAAACACATTCCCTTTCGGCTTCCCTTCAAAACCCACCAAACGGGTGGTCCCCCTTATATATATATATATATATGTGTGTGTGTGTGTGCGTGTGTGTAAAAAACAAAAAAACACGACCGGCTCCAAAGCCAGAGGTCCAACCTAAAAGCCGATGACGGGTCCAACGCCGATGCCGCCGATCCGACAATCGACGTCCAAGGGGCATCCGGCGCCTGCGCTCCTCCCCGGAGGTGCGCGGCATCACCTCCGCCAACGAGGAGATCACCACGTTCTCCGTGAGGGAACCTCTGCCCGGAGCATATCTCTGGTGGATCCTACTTGCATATCCCATCCAGCGTGCATAGCCTGCATAGCTTCCAGATGGGGGCATGTCCATGTTCAGTACATATGATGCTCAGTTGTTCAGTGACCCTGGAAAGAAAGGGAACCCTTTTGGGGGAAGACCAGTTTTTTTTGGGCAGCCACCAAAAAATGAAAAAAAGGGGAATAGGGTGCCACTGAACAACTGAGCTAAGCCCGGAGCTGGCTCCGGACCGTCTCGCCACCACCGGTCTCGCACCACCGGGAATGACAACCACAACGTTCGCTTTTGTATTTACGGGGAAATCGACTCAAAACCCAGGGTTGCGAAATCCATGTCCTTGCTGTGATAGGTAGGGAATGTGGTTGAATGAACCCAGGCTTTGGTACCCAACGGTTTCCTTCAAGGGGTAACAAAGTTGCCAAAGGTGAATGTTGTTGAAACGTACTTTTTGCTAGGATTTGTTTCCTTTCTTGAAAGTTTGGAACTTTTGTTTTCAACATGTAGATTGTAACTGCTTCTTCCAGTTGGACGGTTTATAAGGGTCATTCCCTTATTCCCTGCTGAGCACCAGTAAGTTTCGCACCTAAAAAACCCATGGCTTTGGCATTGACAAGCTCACTTTCAGCTCTTCGGCGACGATACGGAACCATCATTTTCTTCACCCACCGCGCTGTTTAATGTTGACCCCCCTCCTCCTTTTTTTTTGGGGGGGGGTTCAAAAAAGGGGGAGCCCCGACGCTACTGTGGCACAGTGAAACCTCCCCCCCCAAAAAAAGGAGATGTCCCGTGCGGCAAGCTCTTCCTTTAGTATGTATTCAGCTCCAACAAGCTCGACGCGATGTAGGTCACGCCACTTGTGGACCCCTCCTTTTGCGGTGTTTATTGGGGGAGTCGAATCAGAACCCGGGGTTTCTGATCGGTGGTGCGAAATGGACTTCGTCCATGCGCAGTATGGCCGGCAATGGATCCCCGTCGAGACGTTGAACCCTTGCTTAAGTCTCCCGGAAAAAAAATGTGAAATTATGTTCAGCAAATGGAAGCTTGGCAAATGGAAGCTTGGCAACCGGAGTTAATTGAATCCTTTGGGTTGCTTTGGATTTGGATTTGTACCCCTGGTTCTTGTGTGTAAATGGGAAACTAACCGCCAAACCAGGACCACCACAAACCATCCGACTCAGCACCTCTGGTAGGACACCAGGCAGTGGCATCGCATCTGCTCAAACTCAGTTGGTCTTAATGCATACTAAAGTCCTGTCTTCAGGCGGATGTCAAACCCCAAGCTATCGTGCAGCTTACGGCTTCCCTGCCCCATTGCCCACTACTCTAGCAGACCTCACTGAGGTTCCATGAAGGACTATTTGCCTCGGGGGCTGTCTGGCGGGCTCCATGACAATATTGGGAGGGTAAACAGAACTCATGTCCCAATTCCCATGCCTTTCTTGTCTCGGCATCTTTTTGCGAGAGGCAGAAAGGTTCAGGTTCAGCCCCAACCACTAGTCCGACGCGCAGCCACCAAATCTTGTGTTTTTTTGCCCGTGGTTTTCCCGGCCACTTGTGTCGTTGCACGCCCCTCTCGCACCAGCACCCTTCCCCCTCCCCTACAGTCATCTCTCCCGGACCCGCGGGATCCACATACTCTTGTTCAATTCGCTCTAAACCAACACCGATCTAGCACCCATCATTAAATGCCAGGCATTCCAGCTTAAGCCCCCCAGAAAACATATAACATAATTTCCACTAGTGATAGATTTGCTTTAAAACCAACAAGGGAAAAGACAAACACATTCCTTTCAGCAAATGGAAGGTATTCAGGGGCTCAACTCTTTCCACACACACACACACACCCAACAAAAAACCAGTAGTGATAGATTCCCCCCCCCCCCCAAAAAAAACAAACACAAAAAACAACAAAAACAAAAAACAAACGCACCCAGGCCAGGCACCCCGCCGCCCCTGCAGTCCCCCCCCCCACTTAGGCGCGGATCAAACCCCCCGGATCAACCCCGGCTGTGCCGACGAGCAGCGGAGCTCCTGGACCTCTCTCACCAAATGCTGCGCCTGGTTCTTTTTTAGCCGAAACCAGAAGACAACTGTCCGGCTGGTCCAGTTCAAAACCCTTCGAGGGCTGATTTCCACTGTTTTTGTCCTGGGGGCGCTACATTGTTTCCCTCTACCGGCGCAAGAGGCATGTCACATCGAGCTCATCTGTAGTGCCTGCATGGCCTGTTTTTGTTCGACCCAACCTGCTTCCCATGAACCAAGCATTCAAACACAGGGCCACGACGCCTTCTACGCAACACGAGCACAACCAAAAAAAAAACAACATTCTATGGATCATGGATGGGTTGTGCTTTCATGCCGCTCTGCCCACATGTCTGAAATTCAACCAAGCAGCACAAAGGCCCACACATGAGTTCTTATTTGGGCGCTTAGATGATGCTAAGCAAACAAAAAGGGGGTGAGTGGGGAGACCATAGTGGTCCAAGGGCAAACCACCATCAAACGTGATTTTGGGGGGCCAGCCACCTTGACAGCTTAAGCGCCGTTGTCCGGCCCGAGGCGCCCAAAGCGGCGTCTCTTCTTCATCTTCACGCTCACCGGAGCCTGTGCTGGGGTTGCTGGACCTCTCGCAACATCCGAACGTGGGCAACACGGGCCTCCTTGCTACGCGCACATCGATTCCCGAAAAGGCCAGAGGAATCTCAGAGGCCTTTTGGACCACAGATTGATGATCGTTCAGTGTATGAGCCCGACAGAGAGTAAGTGCCATTTGTCCCTGCCAATGTCCTTCAACCATGACCTTCACCAACCAAGAACGGAACCCAACTGGCGAGTGCTTGGAAGCAAAACATGTTCTGCCCCCATGGGTGTGTCTATTTTTCCGTGGCTACCCTTTTTTCTTGCGTTTTTCCCCTCCCCGCCTTTTTTTTCTCGGAAGGGCACCACTGTCACCAACAAAAACCGCCCTCCATCTTCACCCAAACAAAATCCTCGGGCTTTCGGGGGCCCAGAAGCCGCCTGCCCAGGGACGCAGCAGCCCCCGCGCCATGTCCGCTGCCTGGCAGAGGCTTCACATCGAACCCTCTGTGGATGGTTACGAGCGCCGCATGCGTGTCTCGCGCCACGAAAAAAAGAAGAAAAAACGTGAACGGAAGCCGTTCGTTGGTATTCACAGGGGAACCAACATTCAGCTATCGCTTCTTAGGCAGGATTTCTTCCAGTGATTCCCTTTCGTTGGCATTTGCGATGGAATGGTCTTTCCAGGGTTGCTGAACTGCGGGAAATGGACTTCGCCCACCGTTTCACCAGCTTCCCTCTCATTGGATTGGTTTTGAGGCTTGTGGGTTGTGTCCCATCTACTCTTTCTACAAGAGCCCCCAAGCCACCAATCCAAACCACCAGAACCACGTGTCAAAGATAGGCGTTTTTGGTATGCCCCTGGTAGTTAAGTCTTGGATCAGGAACAGGATCCAGGCAGCTCGTAGGACATTCATGTGAACCCATATTTCTCCGATAGTTGGCTTTCTACAGTGCCAGGACCAAGAGAGGCTGGAGATCGTGAACGCCCTCACCAACCATTTTCAGGCCGAGGCTGCGCTGCTGCGCTGCCGTGTGTTTGATTGCTTCCCGGGTCATTCTTTACCCTCTGAGGCCTTTACTTCGGCGGTAGTTTGCCGAAACACCTACCAAAACCAAAAATTGGGGGGGGTGTCTTTTTTGGGGGGGTCGGCCAAGCTTGCGGTTCTCCTGCTGGTTTTCGTATATATGCATATGAAGAAAGAAGAAAAAGCCGCCCTCAAAATCGACGCCCCAACAATTGTGGTGCTATTATTCAGCTTCCCTCCAATTGGTGGCTTGGATTGGTGGTTTGGCGGCTGTGGAGGGGTTTCCCACTTGCACTGAACAAAAGCCAGGCGTTCCAACCCCCAAGCCAGCAATCCAAACGACCAATTCAGGTGTCAGACTGTCATTTTGACTATTAACGAATCTACCTAAAGATTTCCCCACCCCCGCCGAGCGAAGTGGTGTCTCTGGCGGAAAAGGTCGCTTCTTGAATGCTCTTTTGCGAGTACCTTCCAAGGAGCCAACTCCCAAACGGTTGCACGAAGGTCACGCGCCCCGAAAAAAGGGAGGGGGTGATGTAATAGTCCCCTAGGCCTAGGGCGTATGTAAAATTGCAAAAAGAAAGATAAAGAGCGACGCATGCCTGCATAAAAAGGTCGGCAAGAAAAACAAAGAGCGACGCATGCCTAGGGGTGACGGAAAGGTCTGGGGGCCTTTTGACTTCTGGCAGTCGGCTTCTCCTTGGACTGGTGGTTTCGCCTTCCAATCATCAATCCCAGGCCGAAAACATTGAATCCAATTTGGTTTAGCTCTTTTTGCCAGCGGGCCGCGCCCCTAATCCCCAAAAAAACCATGGGCATGTCTCAAAATCAGGACCGGCACCTCCAAAATGGGAACCGGAACCTTCCAAGATCAGAACCGGAACCTTCCGAAATCAGAACCGGAACCTTGCAAACTGGGAACCGGAACCTTCCAAAATGGGACCCGGAGCCTTCCAAAATGGGACCCGGAACCTTCCAAAATGGGACCCGGAGCCTTCCAAAATCAAAACCGGAACCTTCCAAAATGGGAAGGGCTTCCATTTGAGCTTCCCTTTTCTACCGGCCAAAGCGGAGGTTCCAAATGCTCGGCGACCAGTCCTGCCTTGGAGGTGATGGATCCTGAGCGGAAGGAAAGGCAAGCTTCAGATCGCTGCAGTGCTGCCATGAGGCATAACCTTCCATTTGCGTAGTCGTCCCCTGGAAAAAATAAACATATTTCCAGTAGTCGTCCCCTGGAAAAAAAATCCAGTAGTGATAGATTCCATTTAAAACCAACAGGGCAAAATAACAAATCTTCCTAAGCAAATGGAAGTAACAGGCCCAAGGTTGGAGGGTTTGAGGGTCTGAGGGTCTGAGGGCTCGAGGGTTCGAGGGTCTGGGTGGACCATTTGTTCTAGCCCAGTTTGCTTTACCTGCCAAAAAATATAAAGAAGAAAACATCTGGATGCTCAGATTTCGTGAACCCTACCTCTGCAAAATGACCCCTGTGACATTTGCCAGCCCCGTCTCATCCAGCTTCGCCCCCATGTGGGGCAAAAAAAACAAATTTTCGGGACTCCCAGGGACCCGGCACAGCATCCCAGCATCCCCTTCCAACGTTCCAAGGGCTGGGCAAGGGGCCATCCCAAGTGGCAGGGGCCATGCACATGCCAAGCACATCCCTGCCAGGCGCAATTCGCCTACATCCCGCTGGTGAGAGAGACAAGGTGACAAGGCGGAGGTGGGGGGGGAGAGAGAGTGCCACCTTTAGCTGGGAAAAGCAAAAGAACTGAACTTACGTTGCCGTACAGGATCCACGTCCTGGTTGGGGGAGATTAACACATTCCATCCCATTCCCTTTCGAGGAACGAAGCAGCGCTTGCGTCTGCGGAACATCCCTCTCTCTTAGGATCGACTAACCCATGTCCAATTGCTGTTCACATGGAATCCTTCTCCATTGCTTTCAGGTAGGTGGCTCAATAGTTGCCGAACTGCAACCCAAAAAATCCACGACCATCCCTACGTGAAGAGGTGATTTGACCACGGCACATTTGCTTGCATCCTCCCAAGCCTCTCTCACTTGCCCCTTAGGGACCTGGAAATAAAAGGCGATCACCTTTTGGGGTCACGACTAAAAATCGACCAAACCCAGAAAACCAAAGGGTCAAGAGGTCGATTCGCTTTGGGCAAGCAAGCCTCTGTCCTCTCTCAATCCCCCCCTGCCGGACACCCCCAAGCCATGGAAACCCAAGCCCCATCTGATCCCATCACCCCCCAATTTGATGTATCCACGCGGCTTCTTCGGTGGGAGGGCGACGGATTCATGTTGACCGGCCCTGGGCGAATCGTTGGGATCAAGGGTGCCGGACGTCCAATATGAAAAAATGATGTTTAATAAATGCATGATATATCTACAATATAATATATATTATAATGAAATATAATATGCTATATATATATATATATACATACACTTATAAATATATATACACATGTATGACGTGCCAAGACAAACACACACAAACAAACCAGACTGGTCCTGGTCTTTAAACCCGGGCACTTGGTCGGTTCCATTCGGTGGACATCATACGTGGGGGTTCATTTCTTTTCTGGTGGTTTCCTTTGCTCGGGGATTCCTCGGTTCATTCCCTCATTCCCTACTTCATGTTGACCCCGGATGAATAACCCCGAGTTTATCAGTACGAGGGTGTCCCTGGTTTTAGTGAGGATTTATCACGTTTGGAGGAGAACACCCCAGAACTTAACAAACTGGGGTTTCTTCATCCGGGGTCCATATGAATTGGTGGCTTGGAGCCGGGTCCTGTGGTGAAACGGAGGGGATTCCCATTCACCCTCAAGAACCAGAGGGTCATATTCCAAAGCACCGACTGGGAACCTGACAGCCTCTGCAAATCAACCTGGAGCACTGACGGAAAAAAAAAAGAAAGAAAAAAAAACGAAAATCCGCCGATTTAAACTTTACAATGCACTGGCGGAAGGGGATTCCCGCAAGGAAACCAGAGGATGGATGGTTTTCTTGGGGTCATTCCAACTCGCTTGCTGAGAACCACCGCAACGGGGCTCATTTCAACATAGGCCACATGGGAGGCTGGTGTCCTGCCACCTGTTGACTTCGCACTCTTGACTAGCTCTCACACAACCCCCACCCCCCCGCCCCCTCCGCACAGCCGCCATCCGAGCTCATTTAGGGTTTCCTTCAACCCCCTCACTTGAGCGAGGCGGGAACGCAAGCAGCAGCGGGCACTGACTGTGGCCAGTGGGGAATCGAGCCCACAACCTTCACTGGCAAAATGCGCAGTTGCCACAGACAGGCTAAATCCTATATGAGTATGGCGATGAGTATAGCTTTGGTATAGCACAACTCCAGCAGACCTTTTGAAACATGCTTCGCATTGATAGATGGATGCATGCAGAGCAACCCGCAACAAAGGTGCAAGTCACTAAATTGCCCAAGCGGGCTAAATGACAACAGGCCCTAAACACTAAAAGCCTAAGAACCCAATGGAACCAGATTGGAGCCGGCAGCCACGAAGATAAGCGCTTCAAGCCCTGTCCCAGCCTGCTTCCGGAATCAGCGGCGCCACCCGGAAGCTGTTGACATTGTAGCTGCCCGTGGCGTAGCTACCCGTGCCGTCCGGCATCGGCGCGTGGAAGCTTTCTGCGCCAAAAAATGAGCGCGCGCCGCCGAGGAAGCTGTGAGCTCGGGTCCAAGATGGGAGGGAGCCTTGACGTTGACCCCAAATTCGTGAACCCCGCTGGCGACCAGGCGAAATGCACATGTTTGACCCCACATCAATTTAGAAAAAGAAGGGCCGCCCACAAAGATATAGTTTTGCTTCCAAAACACTGTAACAACCATGCTTTTCTGCATGCACATACGCTGGCGACTAGGCGAAATGCACAGTTTTCGCCTTTAAAAGCCACTCAGCCATGTGCATCTGAGCTTGCATCTGCGGGTGTCTCTGGTGTTCGTGGGGTTCATCACGTTTGGAGGGGAACACCCCCATATAAACAGGGGCTTATTTTTCCGGGGCAACCCATCCTTCAGCAAGTACGTGGGTGCAAAGCAAAGGTTTGAAAGGTCTGGGGCGTGCTTTACTCAGCTTCCCGCGCGCCTCTGGGCGTATGCATCTGCGACGCCGAGATGGAGTTCACCCCTGCGGACAAACCGGGAGAAAATACATCATGCGTCAAGCAAGACGGAGGCGCTGCATTGAACCAACTCATCTTTCCATCTTGTTACCATCTGTCCAACTATGCAGGCTGACAGGAGGGCTTTGCAACACTTAGTGTTTGATTAGAAACAAGCCCCCTGTTCACTGCCATGCTTATTGGGAAGTGGGGGGGGGGGTAATGCCCAAACGGGTCCCAATTCCATAAGGCGGGATCCTGGAACCCTACCAAGTATTCGACAAAGACTTGGCAAACTGCTTGCCCTGTTTTCTTTGCGCACATGTCTCGCGGTGCTATGCGAGAACCCGTCAGTAACTCAAGCCAAAGCCAAGCGAAAAAAACAAAAACAACAAAATACAAAAACAAATACCTCAAAGAAACAAAGAAACAAACAAACAAACAAACAAACAAACGAACAAACAAACAAGAAACAAGCTGGGATTTCTGAGGCCGGACAGGACCTAGTGACCAGGAAGGGCCCCGCCTGACTCCATGCGCTGCGTCACGGCCACCAGCTCTCTCAGGGTGGCCCTGACGAAGTTGGGCCGGGAATTTGTCCAGATGGATCAAAGGGACTTCGTCAAATACGGCGGGAGCGGGGATATGGGGGGGGGATTCAAACGGGGATACGGAGGGAGTGGGGATATGAGGGGGGGGGTTTGGGGATTTTTGTTGGGTATCGCCAGTTCCCATGTCAGACTCAGGCGCATCAAGCGGAATCCTCCTGCATCCAACTGGTTCCTGTATCCCTGCAATTGTTGGCTGTGGCGAATTCAAAAAACCGGAATTCCAACATGGGTTGCCCGATCGGTAAGTGGACACATGGACCAAAACCCGCGGTTTGCCCCTCCGATCGTTTGATTTTGAGCCACAGCCAAATGGCCAAAAACGGAAACTCCGAGACGCCGGGAAAGCAAAAAGGGGAAAAGAAGTGAGGGCTACAGTTCCGGCAAGTTCTCTCCAAAAGAGGGAATAGATGCCCTTTTCTGGCTTTTACGTTTGGGGTAGGCTTTGGGAAAGCCCCTCTCCGGACACCTCTTCTCCACTCCAAGTGGCTTGATCTGGTCCGTGTCGTGCATGTACTTTGTCAGGTGGTGCTTGATGTGCTCAACCTGCTTCCTTGGCGAAGCGGTGCCCGATCATAACCTGCCCCTGGCATTTGAATGGGGCAACCACCTGCGATCGCCGCGACGAAGGCCCAAAACTGTGCCCATTGCTGGTTTGATGGCATACTAGTACGGGTTGTGGTATGCCACGCGGTGCCACACAATCAATACAGCAAATTATGCAACATGTGATGAGAAGATTAGGTATAGTGTGAAGTACGATTACGATGTGATATTTCGATATGATGTAGCGCAACGCGTCAGAGACCACAACATTGCGTAACATAACACTAACTAACAACACATAAGTTAATGCCACTTGCAAGAACTTCCCGGGTTTTAGCATGGTTGTGCAGAAAGTTGTGCGACGTCTTGACACTACACATAAGGACACTCACACAAACACAAACACACAGACAGGGTTCTACTTTTTGATTGCCCCAGATTAGAGGGGGAGTAAACCCCTGGGTTTAAGTCGGGAGCCAAAAAGTGGAACCCTGCAAACACATGCGCACAAACAGGAACGCTGGCACGTAGAAGGCGTTGCTTTCAACCCGCTAGCCGCTCGAGTGGCTGCATCCGCTTGATCTCCAGCGGGCTGTCCGAAATTGCCACCTGCCAGAGCCCATCGCAGAACTCCTCGATGCCTCGCGGACTCGCGGGCCACAAAGCTGCACTTTGCCCAGCCCTTTGCCGAATATTGCCAAACGCACCTGTGGACAATTCCGGCTTGCAGTTGCCCAGTAGCCCTGTAGAAGTGGGCCCCCTTTTTTCGGCTGATACCGTTACAAGCGAAAGTTGGATGAAAAAGGCGGGTCGTCTGAAGGTCCAGCCCTTTTGGCAGTTGACCAGTTGACGACTTTCGGTGGAGAACCCACCACACAAAATTTCAAGTAGGTTGCCAGCGACCGAGCAACCGTAGTGCTCTTTGGGGGGGTTCGGAGTAAAACAAAACCTCCGCCTATCCCCTGTAACCTCAGCCCCCGCCCCTGGGCTCCTGTAACGTCAGCCCCCGCCCCTGGGCTCGTTGCCTTTAAGGGACAGAAAATTGGGCCCGGGGTGAGGAAACCATCGTAGATTTTTCCGGACCCTCAAACAATGGGATATCACCCCATAATTTTGGGGGTCAAACCCATTTTTAAAGGAATTTTGAGGGTTCAGGTATATTTCCGGACCCTCAGGGTATCGCTTGTTTAGGGTACCTTTTTCTGCCCTCAAAATGGCTTGTTGCGGCCCCTTGAAGGGTCACGTCATGACTCTTAGGGGAGACCTTCTCGCTTCCTAAGTGGATTGGCAAAACAAAACAAAACAGAACTTGTTCTCTACCACTCAAAAGTCACCAAACCCAAAACGTGAAAACCAACGTCCGAGTTTCGGAACTTGGGAAGTTGGCTCCATCCTCCCCTGCTAATAGTTGAACTTTCAGTTGGCTAGATGTGGCGTTTGACCCTCCACTAAACCAACTGAAAAGGCAAAAAAGAGCCAAGGAAAATGACATCCAATGGCATCAACATGACAAGGAAAGCGCCTCTACTTCTTACCATGTGAATTTCTGACAAGAGGATCCCAAATGGCTGGCTGGGAACCCCGGGTGTGGCTTTTTTCGTGCACGGCCTAGCTCCCCGCTCTCGTCCAGGTCGAGGGCGTCGAAGAGCTCCGTGGGGTCGTCGAAACCCGTGAGGTCCCGGAGGATCTGAGCGGTGGAAAAATGGCTGGCGGAGGGAGGGAGGGGAGGGGAGGGGAGGGGAGGGGAGGGAGGGGAGGGGAGGGGAGGAGGGGAGGGGAGGGGAGGGCTGGGAGGGGAGGGCTGAGGTGGGAGGGGAGGGCTGCGGCGGGAGGGAGGGCTGAGGTGGGAGGGAGGGAAGGGAGGGGAGGGGGGGAGGTGCTAAAGCTTCCAATAAGGCTTTTTTGGAGTCTTATTTGGACTCCCTCCCCCTCCCCTCCGCCCCCAGCCCCCATGAGATGTGAGTTCGACCGGGCGCCAGAGGTGTTGTGGGACTTTCCCACTTCCGTGATTTTAAGGCCTCCCAAATGACCAACTATCCCATAAGGGAGGTTTCCGGTGTCACAGGAGTGGGGGGGAAACCCTTGTTCCCACAACCCTGATTTAGAGAAGGGGGAACCAAAGGTAACATCAAGCAACAAATTTCTGCTTGGCAACCTTGCCGACTTCAAGCGAGCGTTGTTTTGTTTAGGGGCTTATCCTATGTGTGAAAGGCGAAGAAAAACAAGTTGAATATCAATTACGAAAGGGCAAGCAGTTCCAGCCCAAGCTGGCCTATCTTCTCACGCCAATCTCGGTTTTTTCCTTGGACCAAGCAACTCATCTGATTCTGCTTCTTGCTTGGCCTACCCCAATCTGGGCTTTTCAAAATGGTTTGGGTTGGCCAATCCGATTTCCCATAATCCCAAAAAGAAAGCCACTACAAAGGGGACCCCTTGCGTAACCCAAGCTAAGGATGAAGAGATTACTGTTGAACAACCCAGCGATTATATATGTTGCTCTTACTCGAGTGGCTTTATTCGAAAACAAGCATTGGACTTGTTGTTTACCACATTTAGGCGGTCATTCGACAAAAGTCGTTGGACTTGTTGGCGTCCCAAAACTCCGGACCTGAGACCAACGATCCGAGAGGAGACCTCTGACCAGAGTCCAAACTGATCGATCCAAGCCACTCGAGCTCTGAAGCCCGATTGCCACAACGATCTTTCCCCGGGCAAGCCGGGAAGGACCGTGGATGCTTGAGTCATTGAGGTTGCCATCAGAAGCACAATGTGAGGAATCTGAACCCCCAAGCCTTTCCAAAAAGCACTCCACGGGCCTGCCTCAAAGGAGGCCTGCCCCAATCGCTCGCCAACCTCCCCAAAGCCGCCGTGCTGGCTTTGGATGCCACCCCAAACCCAACCCTCCAAGCCCGCCATAGCTCGCCTGTTTTTCATGGGTCGCGATGCGGCTGATCTCCTCTCCTCAGAGCAAGCGATGGAGAAAAAGCAGTAGGATGCATCCCCGTCTGACGACAGCCGGGTGGGATAACAAGTCTGCCTCTTTGTTGCATGGTGCAATGGACAGCTATTAATCAATTGGGCGTGATCTGTGGAACATTCAAATTCGAGAGTTGACTTGTTGCTATTGCTGGCTGCTCCAACCTGACTGGGGGCTCCGAGAGTTGAAGTAGAACAAGGAACAAGCCGAGTTGCCAGGGTTTCACATGTTTGTTTCATGCCGCAAGTTGGCGGGTGAAACGCAGCGCGTTTTCAGGATGAAGAACAGGATCTCAGCCGCCCAAAGGACGTATTTTCTTTACCTTCTCTCCACGGCGACTCACCCATGCGCGGGGGATGGGGGGGGGGGAGAGTGCCATTGCCATGGCGCGTGACACCTCCCCCGAGCAGTCGTGGTCCAGGCGATAGAACATACACCGCAGCTCTGCCACCACCTGGCGTCGCGTCGTTTGAGAGTGGGTGGGGGGTGGCGGGGGGGTAGGGCTGGAGGTGGAGGTGGGGGTAGGCTGGGGGTGGTGGGGGTTGGGTGTGGGTGTCGGTGGGGCTGGGGGTGGGTGAGTGGGTGGGTGTGGGGCCGGGGGGAGAGGGGTGCCCATGAGTCTCCCCGGTCTCCAACCAGGAAACTCGCATAGGTCGACAAGTCTTCCAGGTCTTCAAGGACATGTGCATTGAAACCACTCAGAACGGAACGGCAATGGAGAAAAGCCGCGACTCATTCAGCGCGGATTGGCCGACCAGGCACAGGAGGCCAGGCGAACTGAGGAAGGTACAGGTACAGGGGAGGACCCAAAAAGGGTCAGCCTGGGAGTGCTTTTGATGTGTGACTCCGCAACCCTACCGAGCCCTTCAAAAAATAGGGCCGCTGATCAAAAGACTGTTCCAAAGGCCCAAAGTCGGGCCCAAGTACGATGTGCGCAACTCGTACGATGGAGATTGAGAGCTTTGTGGGCTACAGGGCTCAGGTCCTGTCAAGGCAACATCAGGGCCCACCGGAAGGGCCGCACGGAGGAAAAGCGCAGCTCAGCTTTGCGCCCGGGCCTTCTTGCGGTTCTGCTCTTCGATGGATTGCCTCAGCCCAAACGCGGAAGCGCGGATGGAAGAGGGCAATTTGGGTCCTCCAGTAGAGAGGTTAGAATCAGGGTACCATATTTTTCTGTAGTTTATTTTAGTAGGGGAACCCTCCCCCGAAAAAAAGGGGAGAGAAGGAGTTGGCCGACTTTCGCGGACGCTTGCTGTCATGCGCTTCGATTGGGCAGAGTAGAGTGGATCTACCCCAAAACCGGCCACAAAATCAACAAGAACGGCCTAAGCTTCAACTGCGCGGTCTGGATCCTCAACATCCGCTGGTAAACAGGGATCCTGACATTATACACCTGAACATTGCAACTTGTAAATGGTGGTTTCCAACTTTATTTTGGTGTTGAAAAAGGTTTCCCTGTATTTTGATGGAAAAGGCAACATGTTTCAAATGGTTACGCAAAACGACTTCATTTTAAGGAGCCCTGGCAAAGGCCACGTCCTTCACTGGCCCAAAGTGGTCTTTGGGAGCCTCAGCAAAGGCTCAGGTGCTTGTCACGTGCAGCTCCTTGCCATTTGTTCTTAGCACGTGTCTAGAATATCTCGGTTGCTTTCTGCTCCCCTGCTAGAAGTTTAACTTTTAGTGGTTTATTTTTTTTATTAAATAGACTACAGAAAAAAGTTGGAACCCTCTTTAAGTAAGCCGAAGAAAAAGCAGGGCTATATTTCCCCATTTGGCCATGGTCAAAATTCCGGTTACCCCCCAGTGAACATCCCAATCCAACCACTAAAATAGACTAAAACGGGTGGTGAATTCACCTATACCCAAAATGGAATCCCATTGGTTTTGACCCACGGCCATACAGTGTCTAGCATACACTGAGCAGTTTGGGTCCTTCAGTGGAGAGGGTAGAATAAGGGTACCAACTTTTTTATGTAGTCTATTTTAGTAGGGGAACCCTCTGCCAAAAAAGGGGTGAGAAAGGGCACTACTGGGAGACCGAGCATATAGAGTCTAGCATACATTGAGCATTTGGGTGTCTGGTCGTTTAGCCTGATGCCCACGCATTTCTCGGCGTGGGTTTGCCATGTATAGGTCTGGCGCAATGGGTTTTCCACAAAAAAAAACAGACCCCGGGCATCCATGTTGGCTGAATTAGGGTGTGAAACTTTGTGTTGCTTCTTTTGGACAACTCGCGGCTTTTCACACTTCTCCAATCTCCAGAAACTAAACCTCAACACCTCGAAAACTCAAAAAAAAACTGCAGACCCTGTTTCCTAGGCCGGTCGTTGCTTGGAATGTTCAGGACAACTCGAGGGTTCTCACACTTCTCACAAAGAAGCGCCATACAAAATGGCAGACGAGCCATGGGGTCTGGCATCTTGTGTTTGTTGCTTGCTTTTCCTTGGAAAGGAAACATATTGAACTTGGTTGACGTTGGGTTTGGGGAGCAAACAATCTAAAGTTTTAGCATAAAAATGTGGATTTTGATTTCAACCACTCAACCGCAATAAGCAAAAATGGGAAAGCTGTTTCCCAACAACCACCATGAGAAAACCAAAGAACATCGGAAGGAACGCCAGGGACACCAGAGGAACATGCCGGGTGTGGAATTTGGTGATGTGCAAAGGTCGAAAATAACCCCAACTCAGCAGCCATGGGGATACAAGGGCGCTCGTTGGGTTGGCTGATACAAGCGAACCGGCTCCAACTTCGCTGTGCAAACAAATCCCCCGCTACAAGCTTCACGTTCGTGGCTAAAAAATATGGAAATCCCAGCACTAAACCAGCTAAAGGTCGAAAAAAAGAAAGGTGAGAGGAACCGGATGGCTGGGCTTGCCAGCCCACCAAGTTCAAGCAACAGGGAGGGTTTAGGGTCAGAAGCTTGAGAAAGAAAACCGGACCTAAGCAAAAGTGGGTTGGAAGAAAACCGGATCCAACCTCAAAAGGGGGGGAAGCGGTGCCCAGATCAGACTGAGCTGCAGGAGGCTTTTGTCCTTGGCCGCCTGCTCCAGGCTGGAGTTCACAATCACCGCGGTCACCTGGTGAAAACTGAAAAAGCCGCCTGCCCTCGGGCAGCTGGACCCCTCCAATCATAGGTGGCCTTCTGGAAAAGTAGATGGCCCTGGCACATGGGATGAAACCCACCCAAACCTGTGCCACATTTTTTTAGCCAAACTGACCTAAAAAGCATTTCTATGCCTCCCATGGTCCAATGCAGGCCCCAAAAACGCTGGGCGGCCCAAACCGATCCCCCGCGAAAAGTGACCAACTCTTAGCGGGCGAGATACGGAAAAACTAGCACCAGACACCTAAAAGGCTAAAAAGCTAAGGAACCGGATGGCCTTTTGGAGCCACCAAGATAAGAGGGAGAGCCCCGGCCAATTCCTCAAGGGCCCTCAAAGACTACTCATTTTGAGGGCCCCAAAAGCAATCAGTCAGGACCCTCGGGGTGGTAAACCACCAACATCCACGAATTCATCACCTTTTGGAACGGCTGTGAGCAAGTGAAGTTTTGGAGGCCACTCTAATTTGCCCAAATAAATGGAATTCCCGTGCCGAAGTCTCCCACATGTCGTGTTTTGCGGGGTGGGCAAAAAGTCAGATAAGCCCCTTCCTCTCCCCCAATCTGCCTGGCGCAACTTAGTTGCCAAACAAGGCAACCTTAAATCAAAAACTCGTATACAACTCGGATTCCCAGTAAGGATCCGTGCCCCAATACCCAAGTAAGGTCCCGTGACCACGGCATAGTCAGAATCAACCAGCGACCTTCATGTTGGGTGCCCTTCTAGAGATGGGTAGCTCCCGCCTGCCATAGCAAGTCAGCTGATCATCGAAAGCCTCCTTCCAAAATGTTGATCTGGTTTCGCCGGAAGGGGCATGCGAAAAGGGAAGGGACGTTTTTGGCCTGGCTGTCCCGACAAAAAACACATCTCACTTCCTGAGTGGATGGCCCAAGACAAGTCCGCACTTTGCATTTACAGAAAAAATAATGGTCCAAAGCCAAAAAGTTTAAAGTCCGTAAGCCGAGGGGGTGAGACATAAGTGAAACCCGATGACCCGATGCCCTAGAGCCGTTTTGTTTCAACCGGGGCAGGCTGAATTGAAACGAAAAAATACAACGACCAACCGCATGAGGGCTGAGGCACCAAATTCATGATGACGATGCCCACGACCAGAATCACCTCGGGAAAACCCCAGGTGAGTGGTGGTGTTTATTCCCTTTAAAATTGCGTTGACGTATCAAACCTTCCGCGAAGATTCCGCGGTGTGAAAGGTACTTTCCGCGAGCACGTTTCTATATGAGTTTATATCAGTGCTTCCGGGGGCCTTCCGCAGGCAACCCGTTCTAGAAACTAAAGAAGGTAGCTTCCGCGAGGGAATTCGTGCGCACGGTTTGCTAGAAAACGTGCTTGGCAACAACCACCCAAACAAAATCAAACTACTATGCGCAAATCAACCACGTCCCTTCCGCAAGCTTCCTCGGGGAAAAAAGAACGTCCGCGAACCTTCCGCGGCTGCAGTGCGGCGCTACTTGTTTGTCGACATGTCAGCATCTATACATGGTTGCTTGAGCGGAAAAACACCACTCAAATGTTTCAATACTGGGTGTTTTTTTGGGAGCCCCCCCCAAGGAAACCACAAAAACAAAGCGGTTTTCCTGCTAATTCCTTTAAAACCACCCACCCCAAAACGGGGCTTTGCAATCTGGGAACCATGAATAAAGCACGGCATTTGATTGCCCCGGCCTAGAGTGGGGTCATGCTCCTGGCGGGCATGACCACAACCGGAACCCAACAAAAACAAACACACACCCACACACAGACACACAGACACACACACAGACACACAGACACACAGACACACAGACACACAGACACACAGACACACAGACACACAGACACACAGACACACAGACACACAGACACACAGACACACAGACACACAGACACACAGACACACAGACACAGACACAGACACAGACACACACACACACACACACACTTAGACTCCAGATGGAGGGATCTAATCTTTCGAGTACAACTGGTAAGTCTCAGCTTGGATAAGGTTCTGCATGAATAAGTTTCGGCTCGCAATGCACTCGGTTTCCCTCTGGTGTCGAAAACGTTACAAGGTTCAACATGAAGCACACACAGCGAGAGAAACAACGGGCCAAAAGGACTTTGAATCACTGGTACAGGTACGTCAATCTCGCGTCCGAGATTGATATCACAGGCAAGAGCAAAGGTCTTCGTTGGTGCCAGCCTTGCTCTGCCCCTGGCACCCCCTGCTGTCGTGAAAAAAGGATTGTATGGTGGCAGGGTATTCTGCCACTCCGCACACACACGCCCCTCAAAGAGGGGCGAGAAACACTTTTTTTCGGGGGGGGAGAAGAAGCGCCCGAAAGACGGACGAAGACCCTAACAGAAAACAAACGGAGCAAGCACCCAAAAGAAACAGAAAGCCCCACGTTGGGTCTCCGCGGGCAAAACCCCAACCAAGAAACACGAAAAAACAGGGGAACCCGAGTTTTAGGGTCACCGCCGAGGGCAAAAACCCCAAACAGCCCAGAAACCCCCCTAAACCTGGAAGACGGCCACCGCCGCAAAGTTGAAGACTGAGAAGAGGACTAGGCCATCCCTAAACGGGCGAAGGGGAAGAACAGGAAGTAGTTGGAAAAAGGGGGGGGGAGGAAACGAAAGAAAGGAAGAGAGAAAGAGAGAAAGAGAGAAAGAAAGAAAGAAAGAAAGAAAGAAAGAAAGAAAGAAAGAAAGAAAGAAAGAAAGAAAGAAAGAGAGAAAGAGAGAGAGAGAGAGAGAGAGAAAGGGAGAGAGAGAGAGAAAGCGTATTTAGGGCGTCGCAACCGCCCGGGGGGAAAAAGAAAGGAGCAGGGTGCGTATTTAGGGCGCCGCATCCCGCCCGGGAAGAAGGAAAAACGGAGAGAGAGGAGGAGGAGAGAAGGAGAAGGGAACAGGCAGGGAGGCATAGAATCGAATCAAGAACCGCATGGAAGCCCTTTCAGAATCGAATCGCTTCGAACCGGTCCGGGACCGAACCGTGTAGAACCGAACCTGTGCATAACAGCTGGTGCTAAGAATCGACCAAGGCAAGAACCGAACCTCTCTTGAACCGTGACATGGCTTTGCTCACGCCAGAAAGGCCGCTGCGTAACTTTTCCCGCCTTTGGTCTCCTCCTTCTCATCCCTAGAAATTCTTCCAAAATTTCCGGGGGTAGACACCGCCGGCTTCTTTTGCTTGAGTTTCAGACACGGACTAGCAACCCCTCTTTCCAAGACTTGCCGGAAAGAAGAGCTTTGACCGATTTATCCCATGCCCCTTAGAAATCCTTCTTCCCATCCCCGGAAATTGTTCAAATTTTTCCGGGGGTAGACCCACTTCCCTGTCCGAGGGGGGGGTGGATTCTTTCAAGCTTGGCTCTTACCACGGATTGAACCTTCTCAAGGCAGGCGAGCAGCAGGAGTTGGGGGGATCACTTCCGATGTTTCACCTGGTTCAGACGCGTTTTGGAGAGTCAAAGCAGGGACTTGGGCCTGCTTGTTAACATTCTAACCACCCCAAGCCGGCGCACTCCAAGTTGTTTCCGGACTTTTTCCGGACTTTTCCGGACGTGCCATGCTGTTTGGAGCCCTGACAGAATTGCAATCGGATTCGGGGAGCGCGCCTGGATGGGCCGCCAGTCAGGCGCTAAGGGGCCAGGGGCGCCGCCGCATCTGATTTCAATTCTGTCACAGGCTCCAAACAGCACGCCACGTCCGGAAAAGTCCGGAAAAAGTCCGGAAACAACTTGGAGTGCGACGGTTCGGGGTGGTTAGAATGTTTATTAACAAGCAGGCCCAAGTCCTTGTTCGCGATGTGCCTAATTTGCGGGACTCTCTAAAAGGCGTCTGAACTGGTCTGAACCAGGTCTGAAACCAGTCTGAAACATAGGAAATGATCCCCCCAACCCCTGCGCCTGCCTTGAGAAAGCTCTGAAAACGCCCCCCCCCCCCCCCCACGCAGGGAAGTGTAAGCCCATCTCATGCTCAGTCAGGCGCCAAGGAGCCAGGGAAAGTAAAGCATCCTTTGAAACTTTTGTGTCGATGACTGTCTAGCAACCCCTCTTTCCAAGACTTCCCCCGGCCAACCAGGTCTGAAACCAGTCTGAAACCTCGCCTTGAGAAGGTTCAAAACGTGCTAGGAGCCAAGGTCCCCCCGCCCCCCGCCCCCCCCGCAAAGGGCAGTGGACCCCCAGAAAAGTTGGAACAATTTCCGGGGATGGGGAGGAGGATTTTTAAGGAAGGGAAGGGCATGATAGGATAGGGGTTAGACCAAATCGCCTTCCGGGAAGTCTTGGAAAGAGGGGTTGCTAGACAGTCATCAACACAAAAGTTTCAAAGGACGCTCCACCTCCCCTGGCTCCTTGGCGCCTGACTGAGCATGAAATGGGCTGACACTTCTCTGCGTGGGGGGGCGTTCTGAGAGCTTTCTCAAGGCAGGCGCAGGGGTTGGGGAGATCATTTCCTATGTTTCAGGCTGGTTTCAGACCTGGTTCAGACCAGTTCAGACGCCTTTTGGAGTCCCGCAAATCAGGCACATCACGAACAATGACTTGGGCCTGCCGAAGTTGTTTCCGGACTTTCTCCGGACTTTTCCAGACGTGCCATGCTGTTTGGAGCTGATAGAATTGAAATCAGATTCGGGGGGCGCGCCGTCCCATCTCACGCTGGGCCGCCGGCCAGGGGCGCCGCCGAATCAGCATTGGAAAGTCCGAAGCAACTTGGAGTGAATCGAGGTCTTTCTGGACATATTCGCAGACAAGCAGGCCCAGTCCCTTTTCTCGATGCGATGTGCCTGATTTGAAAATGCGTCTGAACTAGGTCTGAAACCAGTCTGAAACATGGGAAATGATCCCCCAACCCCTGCCTTGAGAAGGCTCTCTCTCAAAAGGCCCCCACGCAAGGAAGTGTCAGGGCTACCCCGGACAAATTGGAAACAATTTCCGGGGAGGATGTAAAGAAGGGAAGGGGGATGTTAACAGGCAGGTCCAAGTCCTTGTTCGCGATGTGCCTGATTAGCGGGACTTTCTAAAAGGCGTCTGAACCAGGTCTGAAACCAGTCTGAAATGATCCCCCCAACCCCCGCGCCTGCCTTGAGAAGGCTCTCAAAAGGCCCCCGCGCAAGGAAGTGTCAGGGTCTATCCCCGGAAAAATTGGAAACAATTTCCGGGGATGGGAAGGAGAACTTCAAAAAGAAGGGCTCTTACCACGTTTTGAACCTTCTCACGGCAGGCTTTGGGGAAAAGCTCCTGCAAATCAGACACATCGAGAAAGGGACTTGGGCCTGCTTGTTAACATTTCGTGCACCCCGAGCCGGCGCACTCCAAGTTGTTTCCGGACTTTTTCCGGACTCGTGGGGCGCGCCGTCCCGTCTCACACAGCCAGGCACGGACTGTGGACAGCTGCTTTGGATTTTTGATATGGGCCTGAAATTCAATTAATGCCCCACACTGGATTGCGGCAGAATTGTGGCCTGAGCAAGGTCTGAAACAGGTCTGAAACATATAGTATATGTGTATACTATATTTAGTACTATATTTATATAAGTATTATATCATGTTATATTGATAGATCTTGGTACGGAAGGCGAATGAATGGTATTTAGCGTCAGGAAACGGAGCGGCTTTCAGTGGTGACAGTGTCCTGATGGGGTGGGAATCGAAAGTCTATGGGGCCCGAACCGACACAATCCTTGGAACCGAATCGACCAGAACCGAATAACAATTCTGAGAGATTCAATTCAATGCTAAAAGAACCGAACCGCACCCATTGACAATCGAACCGGGGTCACCCTGAACAGGAGAAAAGGGAAGGAAACGAGAGAAGGGGAGAAGGAGGGAAGGAGGGAAGGAGGGAAAGAAAGAAAGAAAGAAAGAAAGAAAGAAAGACAGAAAGAAAGAAAGAAAGTGTGCGTATTTAAGGCGACGCATCCCGCCCAGAGAAACACGAGGACAAAGCCAACGCTCGAGGAAGAGGGCGTCGAATCCCGCAGAGGGGCCATGAGGAAGAGCACGATGAAGCAACGGTAGGGGACGAAGACGGCAAGCCAAACAGCGCGAGGGGACCGAGGACCACGAACAAATAGGCAAACAAGAAGAGGACGACGACGAAAAAGGCAAACAACGCGGCAGAGAAGAAGCCATCCCTAAACGGGCCAAGAGGAAGAACAGCAACACGCGGAAGACGGAAGGCCGGAAGAAGGAACGGGAGGAAGGAGAAGCCATCCCTAAACGGGCGAAGAGCAAGACGACGGACACGCGGACGACGAAGGCGAGGAGGGAGGGTGAAACGTATCTATGAAGAGGTGGCTGTCTTCCCTTTAGTGAATCCTCGTTCCTGCTTAAACGTGAAATTCCGCTGGTCTATGATAAGCACGTCGAGGTCAAATTTTCCGGCGTACCGGCCCGGGGTCACACGATGGGTACACCCGAGGGTCCCCCACGAATGGGGTGTTCACACTTAGACTCCAGATGGAGGGATCTAATCTTTCGAGTGCAACTGGTAAGTCTCAGCTTGGATAAGGTTCTGCATGAATAAGTTTCGGCTCGCAATGCACTCGGTTTCCCTCTAGTGTTGAAAACGTTACAAGGTTCAACATGAAGCACACACACAGAAACAACGGGCCAACAGGACTTTGAATCACTGGTACAGGTACGTCAATCTCGCGTCCGAGATTGATATCACAGGCAAGAGCAAAGGTCTTCGTTGGTGCCAGCCTTGCTCTGCCCCTGGCACCCCTTGCTGTCGTGAAAAAAGGATTGTATGGTGGCAGGGTATTCTGCCACTCCGCACACACACACACACACCCAAAGCCACACACACACACACAGCCACACACCGACACCCACACCCCCACACCCACACCCACACCCACACCCACACCACACCACACCACACACACACACACACACGGAGAGCCGCTAAGCCGCTAAGCCTCAGGCTTTTCACAAAATGAGCCCCTGAGCATGCAGGTTTGGCAGCTAAAATCAAACCACAAGCAAATGGTTCGAACCAACACCCCCGAACAACTGCTGCTTGGGCAGTACCAAGAGGCACTTTGGACATGGGAAAACGTAGGCAAGTTGCTGGAAGCTAGAGTAGCTTGGCTGTGGGGGTCAAAAATAGGTACATTGAACCCTGGCAAATGGAACCAAAGACTAGAACCTGCGGTTTCCTAGTGGTTTAATTTTGACCCATACCCATTTCCCGTGTCAACTCACCAGCCAGCCAAGAAATGAACCCGACGCAAGGTTTAATGTTGACCCCGTATTAATCAACCCCAGTTTGTATTTAATAGGGGATTGCCCAAAACATCCCCCCAATATAAACTGGACCGTGCCAAGCAGCCAGGATGAAATACACCAGTAGCACCGGATCGCGATCCGCCAGCGGCTTGTAAACCAAAACCTGCCGAAGATGCCCCGTGGGAACTTGTAGACTGGCCAAATGGGAGCCGGAGGTTTCTTTCCTTGCCGGTGCTCAGCAGGGAATGAGGGAATGACCCTTATAAACCATCCAACTGGTGGTTTCCTTTAAAGGTGACCCCTGGGTTCATTCCCACATCCCCTACTGAGCAGTAGTTTCTGGGCTTGGGGTTCCTATGAGTAGCGGGGAACTTGGCCATGCTATCGACAAGATTTCCAAGGGCGAACCAGCCCGTGACCTTTCTCTCAGAAAAGTCATGGGGTGCAAACACCGTAGGAAACACAGTTAGTCTTGATTGCTGTTGACCCCTCTCCAAAACGTTTAGCATTTTGTGGGTTTCATGGAACACTTCTTAATGTCCAAGAATGTCAAAGTCTAAAGACCTCTTTATACCTAACCCTAACAGCAATCAAGTACTGGGAGGTGGCAACAAGCTACCGCTCCCAGGAGCAGCCAAATGAAAACACATGACCCCGATATTCCCCGATTCGAGGATCTGGAAGGCGGCTTCTGGGGTGCAATGCGGTCGAATGCTGCTCCCTGCACCTGGAAATTTGCGAACTGGAATATCAGCAGGGCATGAGGGGATGCCCCCTACAAACCATCCCCGACTGTTTCCTGTGAGGGAAACCCTAGGTTCATTCCCAAACCCCGGAACGGTCATTCCCTTCTGGGCACCAGCAAGCCCAAAGGCTCGCACCAGCAAGCCCGGTCCCGACCACCGACTGCTACCTGCTCTTTGCGCGTGCGTCGGCAACAGAAGTGGCATGTGGCAGCCCCGTTTTGCCAAACCAGGCTGCTGTCTTAGTCCCTAGGCTGCCGTCACTGATTGCGGCGTGCCGTGCCCCAGGCAACATGGAAGATAGTTCTATACCTATTTGATATCTGTATATATATATATATAGATATCAGATGAGCCATGCTAAAAACAAAACAAAGAAACAAAAAGCCACTAAGACATGTGCCACAAAAGAATGCCCGCAGTTCGCACGTGATGCCCCGGCTGCCCAAAGACTACGTCGAGTGGCGATGTTGTCGAAGGACACAAACCTCGGAAGAATCCAAACATCGCGCCTCCGACGTGCGGGCCGGGAAGAAAGAAGGGAACCCCTGCGGATTGACCATGTTTAGTTGGGAATACCACCGAACAAGAAGAAAGGGTGCGGTTCAACCACTGCCACAGGCAGGTCGGCCCAGGACCAATTCTTGTCGCTCGTTGAGGTCGTGGAGTTTGCAGCCCCCCTCCCTTGGATGCTGTTGACCCCTCTGCAACAAGTTCATTTTTTGTGGGTTTAATGGAAAACCCCTTGAAGTCCCAAAAAGTTAAAGTCTAAAGATCCAACCCAATAGCAATCCAGGGTTTGAGGGTCTCCTGAGGCACCCCTGTCGTCGTTTGAGCGCGTCTGTTACGCATACGGCCGGGCTACGAGTTCATTACTCCGTGGCTGCTCTCACCTCCCGCCTTGGCACTGCAACCAGAAGTTACCCCTGGGAAGCTGGACGCACCTTGAAAGTCGACCCACTCACAAAGGGTGACTTGTTGCAGGTTCAAAAGAAACATGAAGGGAAACTATAATGGGCAAAGGTTCAATTGTCGACCCCAATCTGGGTCCATGGGAATCCGGGTGACACCCCCTTTTTGATGGGTTTGTTCCAAACAAATTCGAGATGCTATGTGGACATTCAGCAAGTCGTCTCCCCCGTCTCCCCCCCCCCGACAGACCCGACATCCGACCCGACATCCGACCCGACATCCGACCCAACATCCGACTGGGAGACGGCCACATACTCTCGCCGGGCCGCTGCAAGAGCGTGACCATGGCAGTCTGCAGGTCACCTGTCGTTCAGAACCCATGGGAGAAGGCGGCAGCTATTTGTGGTTGGGAGTATCCCTTACAGGGATCCGGCAACTTGTAACTGGGAGGGTACGCGAGAAACACGACTTATATTTCAGTAACCAAAACAATACTTTAGACGGCGATAAGACGTACCCTCTGTAACTGGTGGTTTCCAACTTTATTTCGGTGTTGAACAAGCCACATGTTTCTAATGGTTGCAAAATAAATGTATTTTAAGGAGCCCTGGCCTTACCAAGCCTCATATCTACCCGGGTTTTGCTTGCAAGTGGCTCATGCCTTGGGTGAGAGAAAATGCGGCTACGCCACAGTGACCAGCTCCATGGGGCTCCATGTCCGACAAAACCCCCCGGCAAAGGGACCAGCATTTTTATCCAAGTAAATCAGCATGGTGGATTTAGCAGAGCGTCCCCCTGGAAAGTATAGACTTCCATTTGCTTAAGCCCCCTGGACAAAAAATCCAGTAGTGATAGATCCCCTTTAAAACCAACAGGGGAGAATAAAAATCATCCTAAGCAAATGGAAGTAAAATAAACAACCTCCAGCACATGACTGGGTCAATATGACTTACTGGGCTTGTTGCGGCTGATGTTGCTTTTGCCGCTTGCTGTTGCTGACTAAAACAGGGATCCTAGCATGATACACCTGAACATTGCCTTGCAAATGGTGGTTTCCCTTTATTTTGGCGGAAAAAGCCATGTTTCAAATGGGCAAAATGTATCTTTTAAGGAGCCCTGTAAAACTACCCCATCTTGGGCCACATTTGTGGACAAACTCGCCAAATAATGCCAAGAATCCGCTCCCAAACATTCCCAAACGATGCGGCCAAGGGATGTGCCTGTTGAGGGCACTACCTGAACATCCGACTGGACCAGGTTTCGCCCCCTCCCAATAAAATCTGCGAATTGCGTTTCACTCAAAGTCTTCGACATTCTATCAACACCTAGAAGTTCAATTGATACGTTCTGCCACAAAAAATTAGACAAGGTCAAAGATGTAAGGTGGTACACAACATTGCCCCAGAATCACCCCAGCCCAAATGGAACAATTCGGGTGTGAAACTTCGGGCCAAAATCCCATCTGCCGACCTCGCCCTAAAAGCCAAGGGCTCGCGGACTCACGGCTAAACCAGACTTGCTGGTTCTCAGCAGGTCGGAATGACCCCTATGAAGCATCATCTATCTGGGCTGCCCTCAGATCCCCCGCCAAAAGTTTAACTTTAGTGGGTCAAATGGAAACTACCACTAAACACACTAAAAGACTAAAAAGCTAAGGAACCGGATGGCTGGGAGCCACCAAGCTATGGTTCCCTTAAGGGCACCCAAATTTCATTCCCAAACCCTGGAACGATCATTCCCCACTGAGCACCAGCCAGGTGCCTGAAACTTGCGGGCTGGTGTTCCCGCCCCAAGCCATGCTAAACACAAACACCGCAAGGGAAAACGCAGGAACCATGTTCAAAGCATTTCCACAGCAGCTGCTTTGCGAAGAAAAGAAAGGGACATGGCTTGAAGGCTAGAAAGCCTGTTCCCTGGTTCTTTTGATTTGATGGTTCTGCTCATCCGGACGCTTGGCAACTAAGTCACATTCCGGGGGTTTGGGGCACACCGATTTCAGACGCAGGAGAATGAGGTTCGTGACTTAGCTGTTGGATGCTGTTGACCCCACTGCAAAAAAGTTCTAAAAACAACTTTTTAGGGGCTTTAATGGAAAACCCCTTGATTTCAACCAAAAAGTGAAAGGCTAAAGACCCGTTACCCAATAGCAATCAAGGCTGCTATACTTTGGCAGCCCTCGCCGCCTGACCATCTAGGGGTTGATTCCTTGTCCATTCTTAAGGCAACCATCGTTCTTCCAAAAACCGGCACCGTTTTTCCTGGGTTTCCGGAGGTGTTCTAGAAAGATTCGGATCCCTGGAATCCATCGTTAAAAAGAAGGCCGTTTTTCCTAGGTTTCCGGAGGTGTTCTAGAAAGATTCGGATCCCTGGAAAGAATGGGGGAGGTACCCCTAGATCCATGCGGTTGATTGCGAGCAGCTGAAGTTCTCGCGCACCGTGGTCGCAAATGCCTTGGCAGTGGGGGCAACTGGGGAAGACAATCTTCATTGGGGCAGCCACCAAAAAATGGGGAAAAAGGGTGCCACTGAACAACTGAGCCAAGAACACCAATTTAGAAGGGTAGCATCAACCAGGTGCATAGGTTCCGGTGGCCTGCGCAAAGCCCTTGACTTTGGTTCGCCTTTGAAACCATGCTGGGGGCTCCACAAGACGTCACACCCATTGAAAGGCTTTCTCTGAGAGGTTTTCTTGGGGTGCAGAAAGGGAAGAAGGAACACACATCTTGGGGTTGTTATACAAGACAGTCATATCCCAGTTGCAGCTCGTGAGCCTGATAGAACCCGGCTTCGCCATTTCTAGTCGGGAGCCCGCCATTCACAAGACAGAAAAAGGGCTCCACTGAACAGCTGGGGTGTAGGGAAAAGGGACAACCCAAAGTGAGAACAGGTTGGCGTTGGGCAAAGCAAGGCCAAAGGGTCACGGTAGCGAAAAAGGCGTTCAGCAAAGAAAGGTACAGGCCCCATGTAAAGGCGGAAGTTTTTCCAGGGCCCTCGGCAAAGAAAGTTGCGAGCAGCTCCTTGGGGTGGCCGGGCAGTTCACTGCGATTATTTTGCTGTTTCAACAGAGTCCCGAGTGCTGCTGTGGATGCACGAAATCCATTTCGCACCACTTTGAAACCATGAGAAGCCATTGCTTGTTGGTATTTACAGGGGAATCGAATCATTCCGTTGGGTTTCTTAGGTGGTCGAAATGGATTTCGTCCATCCACAGTATGGCATTGCTTTCTGGGCAAGTGATGGTAGCACCATGCCCCCGAACCCGAGGAATCGCAAGGGCAGATTGGTAGGGGTATGTAACCAGAGTCCCCCAGGACCTGTCTGGATTCTGGATGCCCTCTCAAGTGGAACACCTCTATGAAGTGAATTCATGGCCCGGTGTGGGCCAAAAAGAGTCCAAGCTTGTTGTTTGGCACAGGGACATTGCCTCGTAAATTGTGGTTTCCCCTTATTTTGGTGCAAAAAGCCATGTTTCAAATGGGCAAAATGTATCTTTTAAGGAGCCCTGTGCCACTAAGAAGGTCTTCCCAAGGTTTAAAGTCCAGGATCTCGGGAAATGGCGGTGGCTCAAAAAACCGGAATTCCAAAATGGGTTGCCCTGGTAAGTGGACACATGGACCAAAACCTGAGTAACATTTTGAGCCACACCCAAATGAGTTCTTGGAAAACCCATCTCCAGCAGTGGAACCCGCCAATGTCTAATCAAACGACATCCCGATTCCACGACACCGGGCCAAAAGGTATGGCCTCGACATCCGGAGAAACAAACTGAACCGCTTTCCCTTGGGTTGATCTCATTTTCCGCGGGTCCTTGCAACAATTTGCAAACGGAATCTCCAAACAAGCGGGGATTTTCAAAAAATCGCAAGGGCCCAGACCAACCCCAAAAAAAGGACACGTGGTCGCCTTGGGGATGGCACGATGGAAACCTCCGGTTTGCGATCTGTTGCTGTGTGATGGAAAAATAAAAATCGCGCCCTCAGATCAAATAACATGGAAACCCAACGAACCCCCCCCCCCCCGCCCCCAACACGTTTTGGATCAGAATCTCCGTTCGCCTTTTTGGGGGGCAAGGGCCTCGGACGCGCGCCGCGCGATCCTCGATCCTCGCGCGCGCGGCTTGGCGGTAGCTCGAGCCTCGTCCTGCTCCAGCATGGGATGCTTGTAGAGCAGCTGCAGGATCAGGCACGCGAAGCAGTACCTCAGCTCAGCCGGAGGGCCTCCGGAGGGCCTTTGGAGGTCCGGAGGTCTGGATATGTCTGGATGTGGTTCTGGCTCAAAAAGAAGATGTAGCATAAAGGCATTTGGATGGAACCAAAGAGTAAAGCTTGCGTAACCCTGCCTCTTGAATTTTGAGCTTGCAACAGGGATAGAGGTTTGCAATTTTAAAGCAATATAGGTTCTTGGAGCTATATAGCTGTGGTTTTTGGATGCTCATATTGAAACGTCGGCTTGCAACGCAGAAAAAAAAGCACAACCTCACAAGTGGGGAGGTGGATTTCCAGGTGTGGCTTCTAGAGGTATGGATGCTTCCTAACAGCCTTGGCCTTGGCCCACGCTTCTCCTGCGATAGGGTACAAAACAAGGATCAAGACGCTTCTGGCGGTACTGTGACGATTTTTCTTGCACCTCTGTGCATCTCTGGACCTCTGCATCTCTGGAATGATTTAATCCCCCGGCAAATGCCAACAAACTGTTTCAACCATGGTTTCTTAGGTGGTGCGAACTGGATTTCGTCCATCCACAGTATGGATGCTTACCAACAACCTTGGTAGGGCACATTCTTCTCCTGCGATAAGACCACTTTCAATTATGCGTTGATGTACGGATGCTCGCAAAGCTGTATAAGCTTGCAACGCAGCAAAAAAAGCAACAACCTTCTAGGTGGCACGGTTGATGCCCTAAATATTGCAAGTTAACCAACCATACTCAACTAGAAAAAAACAAAAAAACAAAAACAATTCGGCAGGTTTTGGGGGGGGGTCCCTGTTTCCTTGCTTGCAATGCAGGCCAGCATCCACTGCAACCTCCCAACACCCATCAGAAAGTCCCAGGTGTACCCCTCCCCCCCTGCCCGCTCGAAATGGGATCCAATCAGTTCACACCTCAGAGAGGTTACATTTGCCCCTCCTGTTTGAATCTTTCAACTGGAAACTTAAAGGACCCCCCTCCCATTTGATCGGTTTTTCCGAGTTTGACACATACCGCAACTAGGTTGTGTTTGTCCAAAGCGGTTACGTTTTGAGGGTTCAACCATGCTTGTGGAACCCTGTGGTGTCCCTCTAAAACTCAAAAGGGGGAATAGATTCCTGGCAAACCTGTGCCATGTCTCTCCACAATGCACCTCTGCCCTGTCTCTCAAAGGGATGCCCGACGCATTGCAAGTAGAGAGCCAGGGAACCCTGTAAACTTCCCCATGGCTTTGTGCCTGCAAGCAATGAGGGCATCCTCCAAAGCAACCCTTAGCACCCCTGGAACTGTATGGGTTGATAGCGACCCAGGGGATCTGAGTGCACACGTTCGAACGGGCAAGGAGCAGGACGACGAACAGCAGAAGGATGGTATAGACCATGGTGTAGGCAGAGTTTGCCAAGCCTGGCTGAGAAAAAGGCATAGCTAGCCTGCTTGCAACACTCAAGTTGTCTTCGCCGGAAGGGCCAAGCGTTTTCCCAATTTACACGTGCTTGAGAACGTCACTTTGCTGAAATCCCTTCGGGCCGTGACATAGATTTGTGGAATACCGTAGTTCTTGCTTACGTGAACATCAGTAGCATCTTTGGTAACCAGTTTGGGCATTTTCTCAAGGTGGAACCCCAGCAAACAAGCCATTTCAGGTGCCTTTTTTGCCCCCCCCCCCCTCCACAAAAAAAAGGCAATGGTGTAAAACCCACTCAACAAGGGGAATCAACTCTAAAACATCCGTTTTGTGAAAACCGAAAGGAAAAGCGTTGCGCCATTTTGGGTGTCTCCCAAAAAGAAGGACGAGCCACCCACTTCTTTACTTCGCGCCTTGCACCAGCATCCAAAGCTCCCGGAACCGCATGAGGAACCGCACCGTCTTGGCCTGGCGAGCACCAAGCGGGCCTCATGTTCCAACCTACCTTTTGGGGTGGTTGGGGGCTCGCCCCTTCCGGACCTAGAAATAACAGGTGAATCATAATCACAGCCTGGTAGCAAAATGGTCGTCATCCCAGAACCATGTAACGAATTGAGAAGGCGGCCGCAGCTATTTCTGGCTGGGGCTGCCCCTTCCTAACCTGCATCTACCCAGGTTTTGATTGCGGCTCAGGTGATCGCCTGAAAAGAATCCTACCAACAGTTGCCAAAAAGGGAACACCAAAAGGTCACAGTCGAAAGGCCGGCATAGGACGCAAGTGACAAGGGCAACTAACCCAAGTTGGAAGTAGTGTTCGCCCAGCAAGCTTCGGGTCGATGGACTTTCGGTTCGAGTTCTTGGGGCGTGTTGACGGGATGTGTAGCACTCGCTTGCAAAACATATAAGGCGATCACTGGGGCACACTAAAACTACGGTTGCCAACATGGGAAAACCAAAACGTTGAACAAAACAGGCGAAACATGATTGCCATTAAAAAGACAAAATGGCTGAAAGAGTCGCTTCGCTTAGGCTGCCACTGAGGAAGTGACTTACCTTTGAATCAACCGGGTCTGGGTGGCGGTTGGCGTAGGTAGGCCGAAGGGCACCACTTTGATATGAACACTTGGCGTCAGGGTCTGTCTTTTCAGGCCCCCCACCGTCTCAAAGCGGACCGAAAGGACACGATGTCCTTTTCGAACATCGCTGGGACACTCCATCACACTTGGCCTGCAAGGTGGTGCCCTTTCCCACATCATGTTGTTGTCCCTTCAGACCGCACCAAAAGGAACCAACCATTTTGCGGCTTCCAAATTTAATTTGACACACCCAAAACAAGGGATCCCCATCCGCTCGTGCACTCCGGTGGACACTCCTGCTGTATTGCAAGTCAGGGAGCCAGGAAGCACTCTAATTCACCGTCATTTCCGATGTGTGTTTTCACCGCGTGGTTCATTTACTTGCAACATGATTCGGATCAAGGCTTCCAGCGTCCTTTGCAAAAGTCGTCCCAAGTCGCTTTGTTCCGCTTCCAAAGGGTCAACTCCACTTCCCATCGAGTGGGAAGCCAAACAAGTACCCCAAACCTTCTGCTTGCCACTAAAATCGGGTCCAAACCCCGAAAATCACCCAAGCTTCGAGCCCCTGAGCTCAGGCAGTGAGGTGTTTCGCCTCCGCTGACCTTCGACCCGCTCTCCCCAAAAAGGGCCGAGGGGCTAGGCGCAGCAGCCGCGCCACGCGCAGCATCAGCAGCACGTGGACCTGGCGATGCCGGGGGATCAGCTTGGATTCTAAGGCTAGCTTCCCCAGTCTGAACCCAGGGATCCGAATCATAGGGGGTATTTTCTAGAGGTACCTTCTAGGGGTATTTTCTACTGGTACCCTTCATGCCAGCCATGCTTTCCAGGGATCCGAATCTTTCTAGAAAACCTGGCCGAAACCCAGCGAACACAGATCCGGCTTTTGGAAAAGAACGATGGTTGAAAAGAATGGGGATTCTGCCCCTAGAAGGATGAAGCCACACGGCTTCCATTGGCTTTCCAGTGGCTTTCCATTGGTTTGAATTGGTTAGATGGCCTTGGTTTTCTGTTGGTGTTTATTGGTCAGTTTGGATTTAATGGCCATTAGCCTGCATGGGTTTTCTATCGGTTTTTTCTGTTGCTTACTATGGATTACCAGTCGTTTTCGTTCCCAGGGCGTTCCATTGCCTTTCAGATGCCTTTCCATTGGCTTCCCATTTCCTCCCTGGGCTGTTTGAAAGGTTGGCCAATCCGATTTCCTTTCAGTTAGCGCCTTCAGGGGACCCGAATCCTGTTGTATCAATAGCCAGATGGTGCTCAGTTGCTTTGAAGGGACCCAGACGTAAAATTCGATCGTTGGGGCACCTCCAAAAGTTGCTGCCAAAAAGTGAACACAGAAAAACAGGTGGCACGTTGGGCAAGTGAGGATGATAGTTTAGAACCTTAGTTAAGTCATGGACCTGTACCGCACCTTTGCTAGCTCATTACGGGATTCTAACTTTCAACATGACGAATTAGAGTGAGGGTCATTCTTCTTCCTGCTGGGGAAGCTTCAGGAGGCCCAACAGTCAAGACCCCCCGGCTGAATGATTTCTATCATTTCTATCCCTCCCTCACTTGCACCAAACACCCAACACCGGGAAACATGGAATCCGATAGGCACATTTTGAGTTTTTAAGAGCAGCGGGCCCCCTTCATCAGGGACCGGAGGGTCCCTAAATCCCACCTAATGTTGACCCCGGATCTAAGTAGAACCCCTAATTATTCATATGGGGGGTGTCCCCGGTTTTAGTGGGGATTTGTCACTTCTGGAGGGAAACACCCCCACATTAATATACAGGGGTTTATTAATCCGGAGTCAACATTACCTGAATCCCACCTACCTGTACCGCAAAATCCTTCAGAGCCAAACGTCTTGCGGGACGTCCCATTCAGACTACGTGCTAGGTGGGAGTGTAGTTGGCTGCTTTTGGTTGCAGGACATCACGTGTAAATTGCAAGCTAAAACCCAACCAATCCAACGAAACCCTTCACTCCATCCACAAGGAAACTCAATCAAACTCGGCCCAAACGGAGATCTGATCTGAAACTTCAAGCCATCCGAAACGCGAAGTACAAAACACGACCTGCTCAAGGCACTTGACAAACTTGATCCCAAAATCCGAGTACATGAAGGCCCCTAATTCAATGAAGAGCCTGCACCTGAGTGGGTCCCTTAGATTGCCGCCTCATGCCCACTGACAAGGACGACAGAAAGTCCCGAAAGACAAAAAAACAAAGTCTTATCAAGCGCCTCAAGTCAGTTTCCATGTGCATGGGTGAGAGGGTATTTTTTGAACAGAAAGGGACCCTGTGAGCGTTGGGTTTTTGCACACACCTAATTTTGCTGCATTCTGGCCAAAACCGCAAAACTTGAGAAATCTCAAAAAAAGAAAAAGCTCTGGGACAATGTGCTGGGGTCATGCAAACAGTTCTCCACCTTACCCCCCCCTCCTACAGATGTCAGGCTCCTGTCCAAAACCGAAAAAAACATCGAGAAATCGAAAGATTTTGTCCAAAACCGAAAGAAACATCGAGAAATCGAAAAAAACCAAAAAAAAACAAAGATTCCAGGACAATGTGCTGGTATCATGTAAACAGTCTGTTGGCCAGATTGGTTTTTTTGGTTTTTTTCGATTTCTCGAGGGTTCTTTCGGTTTTGGGCAAAATCTTTCGATTTCTCGGTGTTTTTTTGATTTTGGATCGTTTCTTTCAAATTCCCGATGTTTTTTCCGATTTTGGACACCTTCTTTTGATTTCTCGATGTTTCTTACTTATAAGGTAAGCCCAGCAGGAAGCAGCCAAGATAAGACAATCTGCAGCAAAAGCTTCAACACAGGACAGCTTTGCGAGGAAGAGCTTAGAAGGTTTTCCAAAAACAAACAACAAGAAAACCAAAGGTGTGGCCAGCCCGACAACACAGCTTCAGGTGACAGCAAGCCCGACAGAGTCCTTAGCTTCCAGCCAGCTTGCACCCAGCCCCAGCCCAGCTAGCTTAGAGAAGAAAAGAAGTTTTTTGGAACACCAGAGCAGCAAGCCAAGGAGATAGAACCTGTGCTATCTAACAGGGTAGTTCCATACCAGAGGCAGCAGCAGAGCAAGCTGCAGAAAGAAGCTGCAGAAAGAAGCTGCGCTAGTGAAGTCAGCTTACCTCCAGAAGCTAGCTTTAATTTTAGAAGCTAGCAGAGCTTGAGAAAGAAGACCGAGAAGAAGTTGTAACAAGACTGCGGTTTCAGAGAGAAGCAGGCAGACAAGGTGGCAGGCCTCCAGTTCTGGAAGAGCGTAGAGGAACTGCAGGTGGGCAGTTAAGCAACAGGAAGAAGGAAGCAAGAGCTTTTTGCCTTTCAGAATATGAAGCTTAGTGAAGAGATTCAGATGATTCTGGAAGAGGCTTAGCCTCATTGGGCAGTTGCAAGGAGAAAGTTCAAGATGAGCACACAGAGGCTGGAAGATTGCAGAAGAGGTTTGCCAGAGCAGCTGGCGGAGGGAGAAAGAGAGAGTTTAGCAGAGAGATCTCTTGGCGAGCGGTTGCAGAAAAAAGGGAGTTATAGCCACAACGTTTCAAAGAATGAGCTGCTGAAAGAGTTCTTGGCCCTTCTGGTTGCAGAAATGAGATGCAAAGGAAAGCTTGGCTGAAAGAAGCTGACTGTGCCCTGCAGAGAAAGACCAGGCTCCAGCAGAGCTCAAAGTATGCAGCTTCTTATGTAGAGAAGCTGATCCAATGGCTAGGTGCAGCTTACTTGCGCAAAGATTAGACTACTCGCCTGGCACCAGTTGAAGAACAGGTGCGGGCCCAGCTCACCTTCCAGGATATTGACAGAAAGCTCTGGCATCTAGGTGCTGCTCCAGTTGCTGAGCTTGAAGATGCACATTTGGTTGCAGATGCAGAGGTGATAGTTGAGAACCGATCCTCACTGGTAATCGGCACGAGTGATCAAGTCCCACTTTGGGCCAAAGCTCCAAGCAAGAAGTTGGTCTTCTCAGCAGATGAGCTCAAAGGTGCCAGTTGGGACGACAGAAAGAGGTGGACTGAGATCAGGGAGGAGCTGAAAGCTGCTTAAGTTCAGGCAGCTGCAGAAGGTTGCCACCTTGTCAGTTGGGCAGATGTAGGAGCAGGGCCTCTCAAAGTTGCAGGTAATAAGGTGATGACAGGACAAAGTTCAGATGAAAAGTTTCGTATAACATACGAAGCTCGCCAGAAGATTTACAACATTGGGGCTCCAGCAGGAACAGCTCTGCAAGGCGACTACTGCGGCGCAAGGTGGGCATAGGTAGCCATCCACGATCTCCTTGAGATCCTCGTAGGTCATGTCTTCTGCTGCAAGTGCCGTCTTAGCCCAGAGTGGAGGGTGGGACGACTCAGCGCAGGATGCAGATGGATGAGATGCAGCTGGCCAAAGTTGCAGAGCAGATCGCGGTCAGAGGATATATACACACATAACTGCACACAACCCCCCAATTTGGAAAAGCACTCGTTTCACATGGAAAATACCCACGCTGAGGGGGTCCCCCTCTCTTTTTGAAAGCCAACCAAATTATCCCTGGAAAGGAACCTTGGAACCGTCGGCATAGGTTCACTCCCCTTTCTTTCTTCCAATTCAAAACTAGACGAACAGCATTTGCCTTCTGTGGAAAGAAGCCTATGGCAGGGCTCCCTTCTCAGATGCACCCAAAAACTAATCCAAGGGACCGCCCCCCCCTCGAAAACAAAACCATGATCAAAGTCATGCCCTCAGTGATGGGTTGAAGGGAAGCCCCAATTTTCTGACTTTGACAACCCCTACTAACAATCAAAATAATAAACCCAGCTAAACCCCACAAACCATGGGTACCCTCAAAACACGAGCCACCCCTTCTGCCAGAAGGCAAAGAATCCCATAAGACAAAAACTTCGATCTGGCATCCTGAGACTCAAACAATGGGGCCCCGCCAAAGATTCTCACCTCCGTGAAGCCCGTTTGGGTGATCTTTTTCTCTTGCAAAGCAGTAGAAGTCTGGCCTTACAACAACACGAAACATGGGTCAATTCCCACTAGGATTGTAGAACGTCAGCTTTCCGGCCAAACATTTGAACCAGTCGAAACTTGAGATGCCGGCGCACAACCCCAAAGTTGCCATTGATTAATTTGTGGCTTCCTTCGAAACTTATATCAGGTTCACTTGGCCCGGGGCTCGCCAACAAAACAACCAAACGAGTGACAAATCCGACAACAAATCCTGTCACATATTTCGTCAGCTTGTAACATCACATGAATATGTTTGTTGCTCATAATGCCCCTGATTTTGTGGTTTTGAAGCAACACAAAGAGGAACAGCACAACACTTATTTATTTATTTATTTATGTGTTCTTCTCTTCTTTCTTTTTTTTTGGGGGGGGGGGGTTACCACTTCTTCTTCTTCTTCTTCTTCTTCTTCTTCTTCTTCTTTTTTTTTTGGGGAGGGGGACAGACCATAGGAGAATCCCCCAGGTCGCTTTCTCTCCGCCTCGGAGACGGACACGAAGAAGGCCTCGAGAATCCATTGGCTGAAAACCCCCGTGGACACCAAGAAGAGGTCCTCAGACCGTGCGCGTGCGCGCTTTTTCGACGCGAGCGGCGAGCGTCTTCAGCTCAGCTTTCTCCGAAAGTGCGTGAGGAATCAGGGGAGGTCTCGCTGCTTTGATTTGTTCTCTTGTTTTTTGGGGGCGGGGCCGGGGGGGGGGCGAAGGCAGGCTGGGGTGTGTCTATTTTTCGGAGACCCCCCATCCAAAGGAAAATCGCGGTGGTCGCTTTTGGCTTTCCTTTAAAACACCAACTATTACAAGAGTAAAACATACACACGCACAACACACACACACACCCACTTGCGCTGCAAAAACCCTCAACTTGCTGAACTGATGGATCCTTCACGGGCTCTTGGGTTCCTTCAGATGCCCTCGGCTGCTTTCGCTTCCTGCTACTCGGAGTCCGAGCTGATTTTCTTGGCAGGTCCCCTTGGTTTCCCTTAACATTGCTGGGCAAAGCGTCTTGGATGAAAGAGTCTGGCCGGGATCTAAATGTTTGGTTTTTTCACCAGCAAACCCCCCCCGCAACGACTGCTTGTTCAACCACGTCCAAACACCTGTTCGTACTGCCCAAAGAGCAGTGGCTGGGACCCATTTGTCGGGAGAGCTCACGTTTCACGCCTTTGATTCCAGGAACGAACCTGGGAATCGGGTCCAACCTACCAGGCTGGCGCACATCCAGACTGTTCTTCTTGCTTTTGCTTCTTTCTTCTTCTTCTTTTTTTTTGGGGGGGGGTCTTGTTTTTGTTTCTTTCTTCTCCTTTTTTTTGGGGGGGGGCAGGTGCCAAAGTTGTAATTACTATAGTTGGCAGTCAGGGAAATAGGGGGGTTGTCTGAAAAATCCACGGGCGGTTTGCATGCCGCGAAGCCTCTTAGACTTCTGAGAGCTTTGCTGATCTTTTCACTTGGCCGCGCCTTTCCGGGGAGCGATGAAGGAGAACTGTGTAAGTCTGAGCTGTTTGCTCCCCTGAGAAATGTTGCAATCCTGGGGGGAGGCACAAACCAGCGCTGAAATTCTAGGGGTACCTTGTCCAGGGATCCGAATCTTTCCAGGAAACCATCACAAACCCAGGGGAAACAGATCCGGTTTTTGAAAAGAACGATGGTCGCAAAGAATGAGGAAGCAAGCCCCTGGCATGGCTGCTGCAACGACCCCCCTGCCAAAAAGTTGAACTTTTGGGGGGGGGGTTCGTGGAAAACACCTCTGTTTCCCAAAAAGTTAAAGTCTAAAGATCCAACCCACCAGCAGTCAAGTGGGGAACTGGGACCCCAAATCCCGCTGAACCCTGTCCGCCACCCAGACTGGTGAGGGGCGAAGCGGACCCACGGGTCCCGCAAGGCCCCACGGCAGTCCACAAAGAGCCGCATGATCCTTGCGCTCGGACGTGCCCTTTTTCGAGGCTTAGTACAAATGTTCATTCTGGTTTCCAGGGAAACCGAAAGGAAGAACACTCTATTTGTGGGGTCGCAGTGGTTTGACCCGACTTGGTCGCCTTGACAAATGCATGTTGCCCTATTCAACATCCTGGAGATTCACCCTGCCAGAATTTGTTTGCAGTCGATTTAGGCAATGCGCAGGGTAAAGGAAAGGAGTTCAGCGTTTCCTGCACCCTCGGTTCGCAAGGCAAGGCACGGGATCGTGCATCATCAGCCGATTCACTTGTTGGGTTGCCGGAGTTTGCTGGATGTTTGAGCTCCTGTTGGGCGACCGGCCCTCTTTTTGCGCCCATCGGCAGAAGACTAGGCTCAAACGATGTCAAAACCACCATGGCGGCATGCAAAGGATGCTCCGCATCGTGGACTGCAAGGACAGGAGGCCTACAAGTGCCAGTCTCCGCCCAAAAAACTAATGACGACGATTTTGCTCAAACTGCCGAACCTCCAAACCTGATAGCTTCACTCAGCTTCATACAAGAACCAGGGGTTCAAGTCACCAAGCCACCAGCCCGAGCAACAAAAACACTCTCCCATTCAAATTAGGCTTGGCTCGACCAAAGGCATGGTGGCTTTTCTCGGTCGCTTTAACCAAAGCCAAACCTTGTTTCCATTCAATGTCGCGTTCGCCAAAGCCCAAACTGTTTTGGAGCCATAAGGGGAGCCAGTGGAAGATCATGGCCTGCGTCTTTGAGATCTCCCAAACAGGCACTACCCCCCCGCCCAAACTCCCTACAGAAAACCAACATCGGGTTCTCAAAAACGGGTTCTCCCCCCATTTTCGGAGACTCGACTTTCCTCGCTTTTTCCCCCTCCAAGTCTCAGCTCCACAGTGTAGACGGCCAGGAAGACGTCCTCAAACCTAAGCCAAGGGAGTGTTTAACCCCAGATGATGTTCAACCCGTTTATTTTTCAGACTATGCTTAACCCGCCACTGCCCGTGGTTGAGAGCAGCGGCGTGGGTAAGACAGCGCCTGCGTGGCTAAGCGCTGGGCTCGTTGATTCATAGGGTGGGCGTTTGGCCCCTCCGGTGGTCCGATCTTTTCATCCCGGCGAAGCCCAAACATACGGACACTTACTCCAAGAGCCTGTGACTAAAAGGTGAGATCACTGCTTGGGGCCGGGACTATGTGTTTGGCCGAAATGGGAAAACCCAAAGGTGAAAAGTTCAGCTTTGAACAAGTGAGCTACTTCACCCCTGCTTGTTCGTAGACATTCCTCTCCAGAGGTGGTCTGAATCCCCCGCTAAACCCAGAAATGGAGAGCCCCCTATGAAGTTGATAAATACGGGGTCAACATTACTGTGGACGGTTGCGATCGGTTCAAAGACATGAGCTGCCATGGGAATGAAACCTAACTGGTTCTTGGTGTCTACGTTGGGGAATCGAATCAGTCCGTTGGGTTTCTGAACGGTGGCGCGAGAAGCAATTTTCATCCATCCACAGTAGGGATTCATATATGACTAGGTCCTCTAGTAGAGAGGTTAGAATAAGGGTACCCTTTTTCCTGTAATCTATTTTAGTAGGGGAACCCTCCCCGAAAAAAAAAAAAAGCAAAAAGAAGAAGAAGAAACAAAAACAAGTAAAAGGGCACTACTGGGGGACTATGGATTGCTGTGCAAATGTTGGGATTCAACGGTGGCTTTATCAGTCCACTCGCAAGGGCTCGGAGCCGACTCGCAGAGTGGCCGGCCACGGGCCCCGTTTGGGCCCCACGGGGGAGCCCAAGAACCACCGACCGTCGCCCTCGCGGTAACGAAACTTGCTGGTTCGATAGTTAGGGAATGAGGGAATGAACCTGGGGATTCCCGAATAAAGGAAACCATCAGTTGGATGGTTTATTGGGTCATTCCATTTCTTATCCCCTGCATCTCCCGCACCAAGGAAAAGTCACTGCGAGTTTTGCAACCGCAAAAACCTGCAATTAGGGATGCCCCGCCGAAAGCCATGATACGCAGCTTCCCCCGAAGAACCATATACCGTCCAAGCACTCTTTCCACAAACCCTTTCTAGAAAACCTCCTAAAAAACCCGGCTTGGAATCAGCTAGGAAAACAAAAAAACCGATGGTTTAAAGAATGGTTGGAATTGGGGAATCAACAATTCCTGGACTCATCGGCAGCTTGGAGCGATCCCGGTGGCTTGGAGCCCGTTCCGGACCGGTTCCCACAGCCCAAATCCAAAGCACAAGGCCCCAAAAAACCCCAAAGGGTGACCTGAGATACCGAAGAATCGGCACCCCCGAAAGACAAAAAACGCGGATCTGCAAGGGTTTTCACGTGAGCTGGCTTAGCCAGAGATTGGCTGGAGCTCCAACTTCAAGGCCTGTTCTAAAACCTGGGCTGGCCTCAGATGCCCCGCGGAAAGCTTGACTTTTGGTGGGTCAAATACGGAAACTACGCCTAAACACTAAAAGGATCTAGAAAGCTAAGGAACCGGCTGGCTGGGCTTGCCACCAAGAAACCTGAACTTAGAATTGAAACAAGAACCTTCGTGGCTTTGGCTTGGTTTACCCCCTTTGTCGCTAGGTGTTTTCGGCGAGCTCGCCCAAAAACAGGCAGGACAGACGCCTCCCTTTCCCGAGATGCCACCTCACTTGCTCAAAGGACCTTAAATGAAAGGTCCAGCTTTGGGCACCTTTTACTAAAAGTGGACCAACAGAAACATAAAGGGTCATCTCAGGTCACTTTTTGGGCAAGTGAGCCACAGGTAAAAACAAAAAGCTTGCTGGTGCTCAGCAGGGGATGAGGGAATGAATGGGATTCCCGTAAGGGAAGCCACCAGTTGGTTGATAGAGTCATTCCATTCCTCTGCAGCTCCCGCAGCCCCCCCGTGAATCCGAGAAAATTCCCCGAATATCCAAGAACTCCGAGCCACAAGCCGGGTATCCAGGTGTCTTTGCCCTCCTGCTGCAGCGAGATGTCTATGCCAATATTGACCTCGCTTCGGGACATCTATCACATGGCCATGGGTCAAAATCCCATACCCCCAGTGAACATCCCAATCCAACCACTAAAATGGGTCCTAAAAGTGGGTGGCGAATTCACCTACAAACCAAAATGGGATCCCAAAACGGTCTTGACCACCACAGCCACATGGGCCAACTGCCCGGCTTCAACCACTCCAGCCCTGCCCCACCAGCAAGAAGGCTTTGAATGTTCAGCATGGCCTCTGCTTCCCAAGGCGGCCCTAAGAATTCCTGATGATGTTCCTGGCCAAAAACGCTCAGAGACGCTCCAAAAACCCAGCGAGGCCTGATCCGTAAAATGCAAGCCTTGGGGCGGCTTTGCATTTTTGGAAAGTCCTTCTCCCCCCTGAGTCACACGAAAAGTCCGGCCAGACTTGCTCCTCGGCGAAACGAGAAAGTCATTCTCCCGACTTTTGCGTGCAAAAGTATAGCACGCGAAGTGCATTCGCGAATTCCCGCAGCTCCGGCTGAAAACGCATGAAGAGCATTCAGGATCGAGCATCGTAACTTTTGAGTACAAAGCAGTACGCGGAGTGCATTCCCTTGGCTCGTATCGATGCTTTTCCTGGTGGAAGCCCTCCTATCTTCCATGTTTGGTAGGGGAGAGGCCAAAACGACGGACAACCAAATTTCCACAAGCCTCGGAAACGACTGCCCAGTGACCCTCGCGACATCTGGACACGCGGCGACTTCGAGCAGGGCGACCTTTCAGCACAAGAAAGTTGTAAACCGGTAGCTCCAGCTTGAACATCGCAACTTTCCAGACCAAACGCAGCGTGCCATGACACTTTGGCTCCCGCGTTCAAAAGGCGCAACTTTTCAGTACAAGAGTCGTGTACAAAGGAGGCCAGCCCTTGCATCTTGGATCCACTCCGTTCGTCGGAAATCCCCCCGCATTTCCGAAACTGGCAAACAGCTTGTGCACACTACCGGGCAACTATACTCTCGCGCGGTCAACGCCTGCTCTTTTGGCGCGCTGCCGAAAAGCGCCCCCGTCTGAACACACAGCTCGGCCTTTCGCGAAGCCTTTGCGGACCAAGCTTTCGGGAAGCGCACTTCGTTTCGCGAGCTCTCGCAGCAAAAGGGACGTGACCTGGAGATCCTGGGGTTCTGGGCGCTCGATTTCGTCAAAGCCTTTGGTCTTGGTTGCTGCAACGACCCCCCTGCCAAAGGTGTTTTTGTTTTTTGCTTTTTGCTTAAATAACTTTTTGGGAGTTTAGTGGAAAACCCCTTGACTTCAACCAAAAAGTTAAAGTCTAAAGATCCGTTGCCCAATAGCAGTCAAGTGGTCAGCCAAAGGGCGGCGTTGGCGATGATGATGAGGCCCAGAAAGGTGTCGAACTTCTGCGAGTTCAACACCTCGCCTCGGAAATAAGCACGTGTCGGATTTTTCTGCGCTTGGGATGTGAAATCCCAAAGGGAGTTGTTGCGGTTGGCCACTACGTGGTCCTCCCAAAAAGTTTCCTGGCTCTTTCAAGTCCCGAAATTTAGGGATTGAGGAAACCAAAAGAACATGGCGACCCTGAATGGGTCTTAGCAAATGGGTTCTAAGACGCCATACGCAGTGTGACGTTCTTCGGTGCAAGCTGGATCCCTTATAATAGAACCCGGCTTAGGGTCCCCAATCAGCATCAACCACTTTCTGGGATCTCTCCTCAAATTGGTGTACACTTTATAAGGTCAATTCAAGCGCGTCATGTTTGGTTGGCTTCGAGTTTTGCCACTGCTTGCCATCGCGTCAAGCCGGACATCCTCTTCTTGTCCATTTTCAAGTGGCATCCTGAAAATTACCATGTAAATGGGTGGCCTAAAAAGGGGAACAACCCCCCCCCTAAACAAAATGTCGAGAACCCCCAGCCGCTCTCTTAACTCCTTGGTGGAAAAAAAGCACGTGACAAGCCATATGACAGCCTCCATGTTGATGCGAAAGCCCAGGTGCCTTGTGCCCCCCAGTCATTCCATTTACCCATATAGTAGGTAACTAAGGAAACCACCCTTTAAAACCCAAAACAAAAAAACGGTTGGTTCCGCGAGTCGTCGGAGCCCGCCCCAGTCCAGGGTGCCGATGTGGTGGCGTAGCAGCGCCAACTTGACCTGGCCAGCGACATCGATCTCCATCCTTCCGGCCAGCCACCGCTTTTTGGTTTCCGCACACACGCACGCATGAGTCACTTGCTCAAAACCAGGGGATAGAATGATCCAAGCCCAGAATGTAAAGAACTAAGGCGGCCGTAGCTAGTTATGGCTTGGATTCCCGTAATTACTTACTTATCCTTCACTTACCCGGGTTTTGATTGTGGCTCACATGGCATTTGGCAAGAAACTGGAGTGATATTTTCCGCCTGTGCAGCAAGTCTCGGAACATTTAGGAAGCCCATGCGAACCGACCCGCAACCCCGGCTTGCAATCCTTCCTGCTTGCCCCTCCAAAACAAGGCAAAGTAAACAAGAAAGTCCCCCCCCCAAAAAAAAAGAACAAGAAAAAGAAAAGAAAGATATATCTTTCTGCCAAAAAGAACCGGGATTCTTCCTGGCAACTGCCCAAAAAAAACAACGAAGCCAGAAACCGGATTCGGAGCTTTCTCGCCGCCTCGGAAAGGCTACGAACGTTGGTGTCCCGCACGGCTTGCCGGATCTTTCGACGGGACCTTGGCGCGAGCGGATTCCCCGACTCGGCGGCGGCTAGATCGATCCGGTCACGTCCTGGCGTCTGAATCAAACCACTGAGTGCTCCATGGCTTGGCAAGGCTTACTCCCCCTTGCTGAAGCCCCCAGAAAAAATAAGAGCATGTTTCCAATAGTGATAGATCCCCTTTAATACCAAACAGGGAAAATCCAACACCATCCCCAACCAATTGGAAGCTTTTATGCTGCTTTTTGTTCCCCCTGCATCCGATGCAGCCATGTTCGGCTCCGAACCGGACGGCCATCTGTTTTTCACATCCTCTCGGGGGATTTGGGTTAAGCTTTGACCAGGAAAGTCTATTCTTTGACCCGAGGGTCCCTTTCTAAGGATTTTTGTATCACGCCTTGGGATTACGCCCACTGCCAAATGACCCCATTTAGGCATATGTCCGGGATAAAGTCATGTTATTTTGGACTATTTTGGGCCATTTCCCAGAAGGGTGTAATCCCAGGGTGTAATACAACAACCCTTAGACCCTTCCAGATCCTAGGGATGTTGCCTATGAACAGGCCGCTGGTCCCTTAAGGGGAGCCAAGCCCTTAGGTGAACTTTGCAACGCTGGGTATGGTAGCAAGCCTCCTGGTTTACTCCTTGTTTAGTTGGCAGCCTGCTGAAAATGAACAGAACCAAAGAAAAAGAAGAAGAGAAAAAAAAGAAGAAAAAAAACGACACACGTGCCGACAACAGAAGTGAATACTCCCCACGTCTTGATAAGCCGGAACGACAGAACCACCCCCCAAAAAAAAACATCTTGAAAATCCCAACAAATGGTAGGCACGACAGAACCACCCTCCCCCCAAAAAATAAAGAAAGAAAGAAAGCAAGAAAGACGCAAGAGCCCCACAGAAAAGCCCCACAAATGGTGGGAACGACATAACCACCACCCCCAAAAGCAGGAATTAAAGACACAAGAGCTCCCCCCCTCGGAGCGCGCGCGCGATCGCGCAAATTCCGAGGCGGAGGCTTGTCGATGAACTCGAAGCTGCTGAGGCTGGCCCTCTCGTGATCGCCGGAGTCCAGCGCCTTCCCGGCTGTGAGCGCGCGGGTTGGAACCAGATTACCAAACAGTCCGGACAGCCTGCGTTGAACTGGTCAGCAAACCGCTAAAGCCGCTAAAGTACACGGCCAAACAGTCAGATGGAATGCTCGTGTACACGTTCGGGGTTCAAAGCTGAACGAATGGGAAAGCAAAGCTGAACAAATGGGAAAGAACTTTGAAATTGCAAACCACAATACCTGCCAAACAAGTTAGGGGGTATTGCTGTGAATAGAGACCAGTTAGAACATGTTTCTGTCCACATAGTATCTCTTCTTGGTCAGGTTCACATAGCCTGAGCATCTGTCAAAAAGTCCAAGTAGAATCCAGCTGGGCAAGAAAGGTCCGTCTTCTTGTTCCTAGATGATCGACCCTTAGGACCTCTCGCTTTCTCAGGACACATGTTTTGGTGTAGAATGACTTCATCTGCCTGATGGTTTGATATCATTGCGTTGACCTCCGATCCCAATTTACGAGGAAGCCATGGGCAACACCCAGTCGAAGGAACGTATCCCTGGTGCAGGGGCATGTGTAAGAATCCTTGCATTCGAGGTTCCGAGGGTAACCCCTGGCAACAAACAAGCATGGAGGCAATGTACGCATTTCTTAAGAAAGAATCAACATGTGTGCCTTTGCACCAGACCCTGAAGTCCAAAACTTTGGAAGGCCCTTTGTGTTTCCTTGGCCAGGAGGGAATGGCAACATGTTCGACATCTCGTTTGAAGTTTGGCGACCGCAAAAAAAGACACCTGGTTGGATCTGGATGCACGGGCTCTCCCTTCCTAAGATCGGCCTCCCCCCACTCCCCCACCCCTCGCCTTAGGCGCTGGTATCTCCCGCGACCGCTGTTTCCGCGGAGGTGTCGCCTTGCTTTCCCCGGACTCCGGAACCATGCCGCCCCAAGCCCGGATTGGCAATGATTGGCATCTTGCCCCCATGGCCCTTTTGGCCGGATTTTCGCAAAAAGAGACGGGTTTTTGGCCTTAAGCTTCCATTCAGCAACTGGAACGATTCAGGGCCATCACTGGAAAAAACATGAGGACTGGGCAAACTCGAGGGGGGGGGGATGGCAAGACAACATGCATGTTACGCCACTAGGGATGGATGAAACCAGCTGAGATAAAAACCATCCATCCCACTGGGTGCCCTCCTGATGGGTGCTCCCTCCTTAGCTCCCTGGAAAACCACCAGCTGGCTGTTTCTCCAGCCATTTTTGTCCAAGCAGCTAGTTGATTGATGCTTGCCACCAGCACCTTCCCAACACAGCTATCTCCAGTCACTCTCCCACCCATCCCGCCCCCCCACCCCACCCACCCCACCCCCCCAACCCCACCCCCCCCAACCCCACCCACCCCACCCTCCCTGCCTCAGAGGTGGAGTCGAGAGACTCCGTCATATCCGTGCGCACCTCACCTAAGGACTTCTCGTGGGGCCAAAGTCGAAAGTTGGGCGCCCAAGTCAGAGCTGGGACCTTCGGAGGTCTCACGAGCTGCGTTCCTCCCGCACGAAGAATGGCACCGTGATTTGCCAAACGACCATCTTGAAAAGTCGGCCGTCGACTTTCATGACTAGAAAAGAGTTGGCGCCTCCCTCATGTCCGCCAAATCCCCCCACATAAACGGACCCCCAATGATCCCCAAAAGGATCCTTCCCACGGCTTTCGCTCGTTTTAGGGCGACGCAACATTTGCGTTGCTTTGCCGATCTTTTGGAAGCCCCCAATGCCAGCAAGAAAGCAGAAAGACGCTACTGATCTAAAGACATCTGATGGCTCAAAATGAAAGAGCTGGGGCAAACCGCGGGGTTTAGTCGTTGTTTCCATTTGCAAACATGCGGTTTTGGGTACCATCTTTGGAGCCACATCTTTTGGGCAATGCATGAGCTGCGCATCTCACTGCTTTGGGCAGGTACGTCTTCACCGGTGCAAAGCCTTCGTCGGCGGCTCGGATTTTCCTACTTGCGCCCCTGCATTGCGTTGCTTTTCTTTGTCAGAAGAGTCACACACAAACAACACACACACACACACACAACATGCCTCTTCCTTAGGTCCTTGACCGCCAAACTACTAGCCACGGGGCATTCGACGACTGGCGAAGGCGACCACTCCGTCGCCTGCAGCACCTAAGTGGAAAACTCATCAACAACACTCCAATATTCTGGTAGGGGAACCCTCCCCCAAAAAAGGGGGTGAGAAAGGGCACCTAGCTGGGGGACCTAGACCCAAATCGGAGACGACTTTTCGCCACAGATCCTCCTTTCCGGAACCCACCCCCGGATTTGTTGGTCCACCGCTCAGGTGGCAACGGCCTGAAAGCAAACCAACACCACCAGCTGACCCGAAAAATCTGGCTGCTTCCCTCTTTTTCGGCTCCAGCTTCTTTTCTTCTTGCAAGGTACAGCTTAGTGCCTCCAGATGACTCCGAGCAAACGGCGGTGCCCCAAATTTGAAGACCCCCTCACTTGCCTAGGGACCTGGAAATGAAAGGTGATCTCCTTCTGGGGTCACTAAAAAAAGGATCCCAAACCCAGAAAACCAAAAGCTCATTTCAGGTCGATTCGCTTGGCGGGGGGGGGGGCTGTCCCGACCTTTGGGCCGTGGAGTCGCTGAGCTTCGCGCCACTGGCGCCGGACTATCCGGATCCATGCTCGGATCCGCCCCTGGCATCCGCGGATGGCAATATGGATGTTTTTGTTTTTCTCCCCCGCTGACTGTGGCAGTGGATGTTTTCTTCTCTTTTTTCTCCCCCCCGCTGACTGTGGCAGTGGATTGTTTTTTGTTGTCGTTCTCTTTCTTTGGGTTTGGCCGACCGCAGGGCTGAGCGCTTTTGAGCTGTCCTTGTCAGGCTTGTCATGAACATACTTGAGCTGGTTTTGCGGGGCCCAGCCTGGCTCTTCCGCCCTCCCACTTTACAAGCTCAAATGCCCAGTGGCCAGGGGCAAAGAAGAGCATCCTTCTCTTGCTTGGTTGAGTTTAAAGGGACGCCTTCCAAAAAAAGAAAGAGGAAAAAAGAGCACCGCTGGGCAACTGGGTGGTAGGGTCTACATCATTTACCCACACAAATCTCCCCGTCGCCCACCACCACTTCTTTCAGCTTCGCCCTTGGCTTGGAGCCGATTTTTTCTGGTTTGGTGGTGTCAAAGGAGTGGTTTCCCATTTACCCTCTGCAAAAATCCCCAAATCACCAATCCAAATCACCAACCAAGGGTTACCTCATTCTCAGCGCCCCTCAAAACCCAGCAGGGCCAAGAGTACCTAGTCCTCCACCTTCCCTCGGGATTTCTAGAACCTTCTCTTGGCCATGAATTTTACGTAGCGACCCTCTGGTGGACATCAAACAGGTGAGAAAATAGGCGAACATCCAAATTCGTTTTTTTTTTTTTGGTCCAGCCGCTTTCCAAGGTCCAGCCGTTTTTTTTGGTCCAGCCGTTTTTTTTTTGGTCCAGCTCCTTATGAAAAAATCATGGCCCTTTGAGGGGGTGAGGGGGGAGGGGGGGTGGCGAAGCCGGGGCCCCGGGCTCGGCTCAAGAAGCTTTCTCGGCTCGGGGGCTCGAGGGCGCGGCTCGGGGCCGGGGGGGGGGGCGTGCTGCTTGCAGGGAGGCTGATCAAGTCCAACACAAAGGATGGAGATACATCCATGAAAACATATATATATATATATATGGTCCTGAAGGGGGGGGAGCATATATATATATATATATACACATATACATATACACACATATACATATATATACACATAACGTGATACTGTTGCTATAGCCACATGTACATGGGCCCCCCTCCCCCTGTATATGGAAATATGTGAGTAGATATGTGTGTTTGTATGCATGCATATGTGTATATGAATGTATATACATATACATATATATATATCTGTATATGTATATGCGGGTGTGCAATATACAATCTTATACATACGCGTGTCCAAAGACATGTTGATGTTTGCTGGGCCATCGCTGCCCGGAGTCCTCCGGCCGCGGGCTCCGCCGCTCCTGGGCGACGATGTTTGCGTGGGGTGGGGTGGGGTGGGGTGGGGTGGGGTGGGGTGGGGTGGGGTGGGGTGGGGTGGGGTGGGGTGGGGTGGGGTGGGGTGGGGTGGGGTGGGGTGGGTGGGGTGGGGTGGGGTGGGGTGGGGTGGGGTGGGGTGGGGTGGGGTGGGGTGGGGTGGGGTGGGGTGGGGTGGGGTGGGGTGGGGTGGGGTGGGGTGGGGTGGGGTGGGGGCTTGCTGAATCGCATGTGTTTTCCAAGCGCAAGGGGGCTTCATGGCCTCATTTTGCCAACGTTGGTAAGCTCGATGCAATTGGCATTCAAGGGGATGTTCAGCGGGGCTTGAACGGCGTCAAAAGAATTTAAGCAACCGGCCTGAAATAATCCCTGGAAGTCTGCCAAGACTAAACATGCAAACATATCACAAGGTCGATTTAAACCAAAAACAGCGCCAAATCATCACCGGTGGGTTCTAAATGTCTATTTTTACTGTATATGCTCAGTCTATATATCTGTCTAGCCTGGGCTCGCACTTACCTATGCCTCGTGCAGCCATGGATTGGCTATGCCACCGAGCCTTATGTGGCAGTCACTTCCCTGGACGAAACTATCGCGGTTGCACCCGCGACCAGACATCATATATAGATCTGAACAAGTCTTTCTCGACATTGCGGGGGCCCCCAACATGTGTTTGTTGTTGTTTCCATTTTTTGTTTTTTCTGTTAAAGCCGGCTAAAAGGGAGAACCACTCAATATGGGGTAGTGCTTTCTCAATATAGGTGATTCACCTGCGAAGTGCGCAGGACAAGCCCGCCTGAAAGACACTCATGTGCATGGTGCTTGCTGACTAAGTAGCTCCAGCGGTATTCGCCAGAGGTCAGGAGACCAAGGTGCCCCGAGCAACCCCACTTCGAGGGAGAAAACAATCTGGAAAAGGTCCAATTCTGCGTCCAGGCTGCGCAAGAAGTGAATTACCATGGCTCTTCATTGGGGGCTGGTCTCCAAAGGCACGGAGCCTCCAAAGAATCCGATCCCCGATCCGATCCCCCACGCATCTGCCGCCGAAGCTCTGTGCAGAGACCCCGGCGTCGAAAATTCGGCGTGAGCCGAAACAAGGCGCCGAGACACGCGCGTCAGGCGTGCGCGACTGGACGAGCGTGACAAAAGTTGGGAACCTGTTCCTGGGAGCTTAGGGCCCACCCTCCTCCAAAAATTCAAAGGGGGCACCAGAGTTGCGCCTCCCTTGAGTCTGTTTGGGGGGGGTTGGAAAAACAATCGGAAGTCAACCGGTTCCCCTAACTCTCCCCCCCCCCGGTTGGACGAACCCTGGCGCGTGGCGGAGACTTAGGCAGCACGATGCCGACCCTTGGAATCCCCAAGAATTGCCTTGGATAATTTGCAAGGGACCTCGTGAAAGGGGTCTTGAACCTTTGCCGCATGTGACGCGGGATCTTGGTCGCTGCAACGACCCTGCAAAAAAGTGTCTAACTTGGGACCTTAGTTCGGAACACCCAACTTGCTTTCAACCAAAAAGTGAAAGTCTAACGATCAAATCGTTGCCTTTGCCGCATGCGACGTGCGGATTTGCCGGCCGGCTGAGCCCAAAGGTGAATTTCATGCTCACGCGCCCCAACATCTTGCAGGGCTCCCTACTTCCCCTCCGAAAACATAAGGTTCCGAATGCTCATAACGCGCCCCCCCCAAATCTTGCAAAGCTCCCCATTTTTGCCCGGAAACATAACCCCTGGAAAACCAAGCATCTCAACTTGCCAGGACTTCTTGTGCCGCTGTCCCTTCCAAACGTGGCACCCGGAGCCTCTCCACGATTTGACTTCGGGGCCTTGTTCAGAATAAAAATGCAAAGGAACAGCGCCCATCTGTTGTTCGTGACGGGGTCTGCTTAATTTCTACAACTGAGAGATATGTTTGGTGTAAAGTCGGTCATGTCTGCATGATGGATCACAAGCTAATTGAGCATATCAAGACAAAGAGAAAGTAGATGTCTTGGCAGAGAGCCAAGGAAGCAAAGTTGCATCAAATGGGCAAGCCACCTGATGGTTTTCAGCCCCGGCCCCAGCCCACAGTTGTCCAGCCTCACCGGCCCTGACTTTTGGCCTGCCAAAGTTCGTGCCGAGAGCCTTGAAGTCCAAATCCAAGCCAAAAGTATGTCTGGGCGACCAATTTCTTGGCCAGAGTTAAATGGGCTGCTGCGCTAATTGCACCACGCATGGTTTTAAGTCTCCCACAACTCTGAGGAGATACTGCCGACACCCTTGGAACGAACAAGTTCAAGGGGAAGCCCTGGCACGTGAAGTCAATTGCAAGCTGAGGGTAGCCATGGTCCTTAGTGCAATCGTCATGGTTCCCAAATATGGTTTTGCTTCATACTTGTTTCATGTTTGGCGCGGACAGTGCAACTCGACAAAGGCCCTAAACAACTTTGCAAGTGGCAGCAGAACAAGGCAAAACGTGTTGTGGCCACAAAGCAACTCGACAAACCAAAGGAAAGCCGCGAACCGGCCTCCCCTTCGTGACAAGCCATATATGTCTTCATTTTTCCAGGCCTGACTGAACCCGAGGCCTTGGCACTCATGCTAGGCTGCGCCAGCTTGGTTCAGCGCTGGAAGGGGACCTCACTTGCCCAAAGGACCCAGAAATAAAAGGTTAACCTTTTGGGTTGCCATGACTAAAAATGGGATCCCAAAACTGGAAAACCAACAGGTCAAAAGGTCGATTCGCTTTGGGCAACTGAGGGACGTTTGCGGAGGCTCACTGGGATTCCCCTCAGCTCCATTGCCGCCACTTCTGAAGGTTCCAGCAAAAGAAATGGAGGAAACCTGTGGAAGTCAAAAAAGGGCCCGCCCGAAAGGAGACCCACCACATCATTTGTTGGCTCCATGTTAATCAGGGCCGCAAACCAATTGGAGATTCGGGGCTCCTTATTTATCTTTTCAACATGGTTTTTTTTCGAAGTGCCTTTGTTCTGTACTGGTACTGTGGATGGACGCAATCCCTAAGAAACCCAACGGAATGGATTCGAATCCCCTGCAAAACACCAACAAGCAATAGTTTCAACTGGTTATTCGATTTTGTCGCAAAACGCCACGCAATAGTTTTAAATGACGGAGGGTTTCATTTCGTGGCGAGGTCGGATTTCGCAGCCATCCACAGTTAAATTGATCCGAGGCCGGAGATTCCCACGCTCCGCGCACTTCGCCACGCCTCCGCCCGGGCTCGAAGCTCCTGCGTGTCCACAAGGCAGAGCTCTCCAAGGACTTACTCAGTGGATCCCAGCTAGATCCCCAGATCTTGAGGGGGGAAAGGAATAGGTTGGTACCGACTTGATTTTTTCTTTAGTCTATCTCAGCAGGGGCTTGCCCTCCCCCCAAAAAAAGAAGAAGTTGGTACCGACTTGTTTTTTTGTTTAGTCTATCTTAGTAGGGGAACCCTTGCCCTCCCCCAAAAAAGAAACAGTAAAAGTTGGCACCTAGCTGGGACCTAGGCAGCTCGCCAATCATGCGCCCTTCTGTCTTCTTTTCCTCGGGCGGTCCCTTGGGTGCCTATAGATGGGCTCACTGGGTCAAAGGTGGGCTCCACTTTGCTGAAGTTTCATCCAGAGATCCGAAATCCATGGCATCCGCCACGGAAATTTCATCAGCTGCAAGTCAGGGGACGCACAGAAAGGGGATATGTCTTGACACAACGCCGACTTGAAGAGAATTACATGGCTCACAATTGGCTCTAGAAAGCAACCAGGGGTTCAAAGAAGCAGCCTCCAAGCGTCATGTCTGCCTTTTTCAGAGGCACCCCCCAAATTGGTGGTGTCCTTTTAAAACCACCAAAACCACCTGGATCCGCACAACTCCCTTAAAATGGGCGATTGCCCCATTTTATGACGGGCTGAACTCCCATGCTCCATGGCAGTTTTTGAGGCTCCGGAAGCCCTCAAACACCCCAAACCCGTCGCCGGATCCCAGGCCCGCCGCCGCGTCGGATCGAGGCATCCGAAAGCCGAAGCTCCTCCTGAGGCAGGTCCCACTTGTCGAGACATCTCACCTCCTGCGACTCGGAAAGAGCTCGGAATTTTCGCCGGGCGAGATTTCCCAGCGGGTCCCAGCGAAAGAGTCCTTCCAGGTGCAAAAAAAATTAGACCGGGCCAGGCGAATTGGAGAGCCGATGCCATGCACTAACTGCAGCCAATCTGGCTGGTTTTTTTTCGCATCAAAGAGACCAAGCTCGGACCCAGAAAGGGGTACTATTATCATCAATAGTGGGGTTGAGGACTTCGAAAAAAGTCATGAACTCGGCAATATTAGGTCCATATGAGCTGGGTCCGACTTTCTGCCCGAGTTTGGTCCCATTGACCTTTGCTTTTTGGCCCCCTGGAAAAATGTCCAGTAGGCTACTTTACCTTGCCTGACTGGGACGGGGCACTGACACAACCAAGCAACACAAGGCAGCAAATAAAGAACATTTTTCCAGTAGTAATAGGTTCCCTTAAGAAACAACAAGGGAAAATATGAGGTAGTCTTAAGCAAATGAAAGGCACTGGTAGGTTTACCGCTTTAGCCCAAGGGTGTCATCTATCCCAACTGGTCGAGTTTGTCCATGAGTGGGTAGCAAGCAAAGGAACTCGCTTTTGGAGTAGCCTTGAAAAGCCCTCCCCACTGAAAGTCAGGCCCAACCGGACAGAACTACAGTCTGTCTCTCCCTCGGACAACAATGGCAATCGCCAAACAAACAAGAAGCGGCGGCTCCGATCTCCGAAGAAAAAAAACAAACATTCTTCAAAAAGCTCCACACTGCCAGCGAAGAGATTCGCAGGGAAGTTGGGGGGACGCCATAGTTCCCATAAACTGGGCTGTCCGTTTCCAGATCACGCGAGGCGAATGTAACTTTCAGTGGCTATGGAGATTTCCAGCCACGAAACCAGCTGAGCCAAACACCTCAGGAACCGGATGCCGGTTCAAACCACCCAGTAAATAGGGAAAAAATGGCCGCGGCCGGGAGAAAGTTCGGATGCTGTAGAATTGTTCCGCAGAAAGTGGACAACTGGTTGTGGGTTTCATGGAAAACCCAACTTGATTTCAACCGAAAAGTTGAAGTCTAAAGAAATGCCGCAGGAGACCAGCATCCAGTTCAGAGAGGTCACAGCCCGGCCTGTTCTCCGATGTGGCCGGTGTCTCCGACATCCAAGCCTGTCGACCCGATTTTGCCACCGAACAAGGACGAGCCGGAGCCGCTGCTGGCAAAACGTATGCCGTCCATTTTTGCGAAAGCCCCTAAAAAAATGAAAAACAAATATGTCCAGTAGCGATAGATTCCCTTCAAAAACCAACAAGAGGAAGAAAAAAACACACCCCGAGAAAATGTGGAAACAGGTCCAGTAGTGGTAGATTCCCTTTTCAAACCAGCAAGGGAAATTTAAAGCATATTCTTAAGCAAATGGAAGATGGAGAATCCGAGGGCTGGATTTCTGCGGAACAGATCGGATCGGATTTCGGGATTTCTTGCGGAGCCGGAGATGAGAAACACCCAATGCGCCCAATGATCCAGAGCTAAAAAGTCCGGAATTGGATTACTGTGGGGGATGCCTGCGCACTTCGTCGCATTGAGATTGCGGAAAGCCAGCAGGGAAAAAGCACAGGCCCGGAACTTGGCTGGTTGAAGTGAGCAGTCAGTCAGTGCTTCAAGGCAATTGGGAACTAACAGGGGTTGGTCCGGTTTAGCATGGTATGTGTTCCCCTCTTGGTGGGTGTTTTCATATAGAGAACCACGGCCGAAACTGGCGATTCTGCTTCTAGTTGCACACACTTGAAGCACCCCTTATTCAGAGTTCATTGAGTTGTGCCATGTTAGTTGGAGGGAGGGTCTCTGAGTTTGGGCTTTGCCCCAAACCTCAAACCAACCAAGGCCCCTTTTGGCCGTAGGGCGCCGGTTTTTCTCACCCGGGCCTTCGAAGAGCAAGTCCGCCGCCTCTCGCACAGATGGGACGCGCTGCTTGCAGTAATGTTGGCCCTAGATTCAACAACCCCAGGTCTAGGGGCACCTCAACATGTATAATGTTTCCCAACAACAACCAAGACCCTCCCCTTTCCAGGGATCCGTTTATCTTTTCAGGAAACCATCCAAAAACCCGGGGGAAACAGATCCGGTTTTGGAAAAGAAACATGGTTGAAAAGAATAAGGAATCAACCCCTGGACCAGTGTATTCTAGGTCCTCCAGTAGAGACGCTAGATTAAGGGTACCAACCTTTTTTCCGTAGTCTATTTTAGTGGGGGAACCCTCCCCCAAAAAAAAGGGGGGAAACACTACTGGGGGACCTAGTATTCATATGGGGGTGTTCCCCTCCAAAAGCGATGAATCCCCACTAAACCCAGGGACACCCCCCCTACTAATCTGGGGTTTATTCCTCCGGAGTCACAGAGAGAGAGAGAGATATATATATATATATATATGGTACAGCGTTGCCAGTCCCCCCCCCCCAATGACCAATGGTCATGGGTCAGACAAGTACCCCGCCTTTCTGTGGCCTGTGGTTGGGTTGTGATGGTTTAGGGTTGGTTTAGAATTGGTTTAGGGTATATTTAGGGTGTATTTAGGGTTAGTTTAGGGTTGTATGTGTGTGTGTGTACATATGTGCATCTGAGCGTACATGTCCCGCCCACGCTTGGGCACCAGGCACTGTGGTTCAGCGCTTCCGCTAGAGCCTCCGGAGTGGAAATTCGGCGTCCGCGAGAAACGGGTGTCCCGCCCCGACTGTCGACGCCCCAAATGATGCAAAAGCCGCCCTTCCACTAAGCCTTCCACTATCCTCAAGCTACTGTATACCATGGAATAAGGCTCACACAATTCACTGGAAAATTTGGGCACTCCCTCAGTGGCCCGCGATGCAACGTGTCAACATGTGCGCTGGCGGATTCCTTGTTTTGCGGAGGGGGTGATGAATTCAGAGCAGCCCGCGCCAACAACCAAGCTTGGGAAGTGGCTCCATTTGGGATTTTTTGGATTGCGTCGTCGCGCCACCTGTCATCAGGTTGCAGCCAGCATTGCCAGACTTCTCCCAGCCCTATGTGCTTCCATTGTTCGCAGGGGTTTATCATGTGTCATCCATTTGGTGGGGACTCTGCTGGGGACTCTCTGTTCCACCCACGTCCATAAAAGGCAAAGGCACATTTTGACAGTAGCATATGTCGGGGATCTCCTGCCTAGCGAGGTGAGAAGCAGAATCCAGACTAAGTGTCGAACACGTTTAGTCGACTAAAAACCTAAAACACCTCAGGAAACGGACGTACCAAAACGCTCGCCCGCCACCAATACCTCCATTTGCTTAAGCCCCGTGGAAAAAATAAGATAATGTGTCCAGTAGTCATAGATTCCCTTTAAAGCAAACAGGGGAAAATAAAACACATTCTTAACCAAATGGAAGAATCACTGGATGACTGAGATCCACCACGTTTGGGCAGCGAACACGTCCGCCGGCGCACCCCGCCCGCTCGAGCCGGCCTTTCGAAAGATAGGCTTCGTCACCTGGCCCTGGGCCTCCAGCCTCCGACCGAAGCACAGCCGCGGTTGCAGCATGGCCCCCCCCCCCCCCCCCCAAAACGCAAAACACCACTCGTTGACCCGGAGAAAAGGAAAGGGGGGCTTCTTTCTTTCCGGGCGTGTTTTTCTTACTCCTTTTGTTTTTTCTCGTGCCTCAAAAAAGGGGATACCAGAGAATGGTTCTGCGCTTTGAGTATGGTGGGTATTCATTTACTTGCAAAATGGGTGCCAAGCCAAAGGGCGGCTGTTGTGATAGACCAGCCCCGAAACCCGAAGCAGGGATTCACCCAGCTGTAAAGCTGTAAAGGTGTCTTTTTGAAGGGTCATATGCAAATCTGAAGTCATGAGTCCCGGGATTTGCTCACTCTCATGTCACACACCGTGCTACCTTTGGGCCTCCTTAAGTGGCAAACTGATCGACAGGTGAGGAATAGAAACCGAACGCCTGAACATACCAAGCCAAACAAAAAGCGCCCCATAACGCAACCACGGCCGCGGTACATGACATTTTTGGGGCAACTCTGGGGACAACGCCCTGATGAATAAGGCTTCCGGTGGAGAAAGTGAGAAACTATGGGCTGCTTAGCACCTAGTTGCTTGCCAATTGCGGTTGTTGCCTTCAACGATGCACCAGCCAGAGATCCGGCCCCCGACTCAAAGAACCTTCATTGGTGAGGCCGCAAACCCCTTGAGGTCGCCGTCATTTCTTCAGATCGAAAACATCAGTCCAGGCAACCTGCTGCCAGACAACCGAGACAATGTCAGTGGAGGCAACCCACGAACAGACAAAACTGCCAGGCATTTTGTCAGTTGCTGGTCGAAACAACTCCCACCCCCCACCCCCCAACCCCCCACAACCCCCCCCCCCCCCGCCACCACCACACCACCACAACCCCCCGGCCATGACACACACAACTGGGCGCGGCGGCTTGGCTAGAAGCTTGGCCTGCAGGGCCCAATGCATGGCAAGGCGGGATGGGGCTCTCCTTTGGATCAAGAACTAGGTCCTCCAGATTTGAGAGGTTAGAATAAGGGTACCCGATTTTTTTCCTGTAGTCTCTTTTAGTAGGGGCTTGCCCTCCCCCCAAAAAAGGTGCACTACTGGGGGACCTGGAGAAAATCAAGGGAACCCCCGTAAACAGGCTGTGGACTTCGTTCAAGTGGCAGCTATGTTTTTGTTGCAGTCGATGCCGCAAGCAAATATGTTCAAATACTTGTCATCTCACCGCAAAATCAATGAGCTCGTTGGCTCTCTTGCTCGTTGTCCGCGGCCGCGGATCACAAATCTGGAACCTGGGGACTAGACTTGCAGCATTTGAAGCGGTGCCCCTTCCACCAATTAACATGGAACCTGACCAGGGGGTTCCTGGAAGACAACTTTCCTTTTCAAGAAATCCATGGTTTCCATGCTGGCTTCCGCTTCTCAACCATCACCAAAGCTTGACCAACCAGGACTAGGCTCGTCCCCTGGCATTCCATGGTTCTCCTTTTTCTTCTAGCCTCCAGCGTGAACATGATGCAAACGGCAAGGCCGCAACCCCTCCCCCCCCCCCAAAAAAAAAAAGAAAGAAAGAAAGAAAGAAAGAAAAAAAGAAAGAAAGAAAGAAAGAGAATAACGACAACGACCTCAGATTCAAACGGCATCCTCCCTCCAAACATGCCCGCCCTAAAAAACACTCAGGGAAAGCAAGAGAGTAGAACGGGAAGACACACAACCCAAAAGGCCCCCAACTCAAGGGGAAATAGAACTATAAATTGAATTTCACAGCTCGGGCTCCCCAACAAGGTCCGCCTTACCCCTACGGAATTGGAACGTTGAAGGGGGGGTTGCATTCCACAAGCAGGGGTTCAAATCCTCAAAGCACCAAACTTCTGGGCTCGAAATCAGATCAGGCCTACAGGGTCTGTCCGTGTTTTGAGGCTGCCGTTTTTGAGGCCCCTCTTTTTGGTTGTTTCGAAGGAAGTTGAAAACGAAAATGGGGGGCGTGTGCCATGGACACCTAGAATCTGGACCCCCAACAAGCCAATCCCCCAAATGAAGGAAGTTGCCAAATAGATCCTAACCTTCATCATATGGGTGTGGGTCAAAAATAAGTACCCAAAATGGACCCCGGTAAATGGAAACCAAAACTAAAAAGTCTGCAGTCCTCTGGTGGCTACAATTTTCACCTATTCCCATATGGCCATGGGTCAAAATCCAAATCGTTCCCCCAGTGAACATCCCAATCCCCACTAAAATAGGTTCTGAATTCAACTACCAACCAAAATGGGATCCCCAAACGGTTTTGACAACCACAGCCATGTAGGTGTGGCTCAAAATTAAACAGGAGGCGTTACGCAGGTGTTGGTCCATGTTTCCACTTACCAGGGTTCCATTTTGGGCAAACTATATGGCTGTGGGTCCAAAAAAAAAAAAGGTGCCCGTTTTGGGAGCCCTGGTACATAAAACCAAAGACTCAAACCTGCGGTCTGGTGGTTTCATCTTGACCCATACCCCTCTGAGCCACGCCCGAACGCACCCGCCGGGACCCTGTCGCGGCCGCGGCCCGGGGCTCCCGGCGCAGCCGCCGTGCTGAGCCGCGTGGCGCCTCAGACCTGCCGCGGCCTGGCAAGGCCAAGTGGGGCGCTGAGCACGACGGGCGGGCCCCGAGCCGCTTCCGGCGGCTCCCCGTTTCTTGAGAGCTGGGAGAAAAAAAGGGGGTCGTTTTTTCAGCTCCGCAGGCGCTTTCTGATGAAAAACGGGGTACACAGACTTCAGCTCTGGGCCCTGGTTTTAGATCTGCAAGTGTTGAAAAAAAAACAGTTCTGGGAATGCTTGATCGTTTTCAGGGTGAAAAGCGGGGTACGCAGACTCCCCTTTTTGGGTTCTGTGACTTCCTTTCTGGGTTCTGGGGTTTGCCAAAGGATGCCGAAACTGGGGGTGCTGAAGGCGAGCGCGGTATCCATACCCTCGAGGTGATGCTCAACCCGTCTGATGTCTCCCTCTCACGAGCCATGCTTGCTTAATCTATGGCTGGGCAAGAATAGGTATACCCCAGATGGCTTGCCCTGGTAAATGGAAAGGACGACGAAAACCTGCCGTTTTTTTTTTAGTGGGCTTAATTTCGACCCATACCCATATCTTACTATGCTTACTTACGCCACCTCCAACCTTCAAACATCACAAAAAAAAAAAAAAAAAACGCCCCAAAAAGGCGACGTTCCAAAGCACCTAAGGGACATCCGCCACTGGACTCCTGGACCACTGGTTGGATCATCCGGAGACCTCGTCCCGGACGGGAAGATGAATGACTTCTCAAGCTTGGGGTCCCAAATGCTTGGCACTGCCTGTGGCGTGGGGGGGGGGGGCCTTGGGCTGGGGTTGGGTTGTGGGGGGAGGTTTCCTGGCCAAACCAAACCCATCCATTCGTCAGCAAAAAGCTAAAGTCCTAACATCCCTTGGCAAGATGCACCAAAGTTAAATGGAAACCAAGAGAACAACCGAACCCTTTTGGATCCCCTCCAACCGAAAGCGGGTGCCTTTAATCAGACACGCTGGGGATCAAGTCTTTGGAGGGGCATGCTGGCTTCTCAATGTTGCCTCTGCCTCCAACTGCAGAAATGTTATGTGCTTAGAGGGTCCAGAAAAAGTGAGCTTGCCAAAAAAGCAACCGTCATCCTCAAAACCTGCTGAGTCTACCAAAAGTTAATCACAAACTGAAAAGGGCTTCATGTCGCACCCATCAATTGGTTGGGATGTCCCCTTGCTGACCGAGTCACTCCTTCCGCCTTTGACGGCTCAAACGGCCCAAAGGTGTCCAGGCGCCAACAGGGCTCCCAATATCTGAAACAGCACCCCACCCAAAGGAAATTCACGGCAACTTTGCACAAAAAGGTGATGCTTTATGCAAGATATGCTTCACACAAACTCACTTTGGCAGCGACTCGGATGCCCAGTGGCCTTCAGAAAAAGGGCACCCTTATTTGGTCGGTTGAGTTTGAAGAGGAGAAAAAAACAAAAACTTCCCAAAACAGAGGGGAGAACGGGGAACATCTGAGGCACAAAGGGCACCTCAAAAACGGACCCCCCAAAAGCGGAGCCTTCCGCTTGCGCTTGCGCCTCATGGGCCTCCGGCGAGAAGTGCCGCAAGCCGCAGGAGCCCTGGCACTGCGTGTCCATGGCCCGCCAGACCTCACATCGGACGCTCCGCCGGACGCCGGACGTGAGAAAACCCCCGCGCTAAGCTTGGAACGGCCGGCGACCAACAGGAGATATCTTGAGAAAAAGAAAGGGAGGTCAAGATAGCGCTTGGCAACGACGAGTGTTCATGCGTATACCCATGCACTTGACACATGTACGTATGTATGTGTAAATGTACATGTATATGTATATGTATATGTATATGTATGTATGTATGTATGTATGTATGTATGTATGTATGTATGTATGTATGTATGTATGTATGTATGTATGTATGTATGTATGTATGTATGTATGTATGTATGTATGTATGTATGTATGTATGTATGTATGTATGTATGTATGTATGTATGTGCTCACTTGCTTGCACATCCGTGTTGGCTGCGTGTCCCGCAGGTTCTGGCAACAACGAATCCCCAGGAGGAATATTTGGGCCGCCGGGGCATTCCAAGACGCACCTTTTTGCAGCGGACCCGCGGCCCATGTCCATAAGCAAGGCAAATAGATGGCCCTGGTAAATGGAATAACCACCATCTAAACCAGTGCCTTCTATTTTTAAGCAAACTAACCTATAAAGGACACCTATGGCAAGGACCTTGGTTGACTCCCGTCTTCACGTGCAACTGGGGCAACGGCCTTACTCAAAACACACACACACACAAAACTTGAGCAACAAACGCATCGAAACAGTTCAACGTTCAGTTTCTTTCGGATAAAGAAAGGACACATTGTCACATTGCCCTTTTGATGGCGGCCCCTACAAGGGGCCAAACAAGAAAATCGCTTTGCATCCTCCATTCGCTTAAGCCTTCCGGAGAAAAAAGAAAAAAATCAAATACTGATAAGTTCCCTCTAAAACCAACAAGGGAAATTCCCCATTCCAATGCAACTTCCGACCCAGCTCAACACTTGGGTGAATTCTACATGCGACACATAGGCCCATGAAAGAGAGAGAGAGGCAAGTCAGAGGCTAGCCTGCGGGTCCAACGACTTGGGGGCCCTGAAAAAAAAAATCCGAGGGGTACATTCCATTTCCATTCTTCCCAGGGATCCGAATCTCTTCAGGAAACCCTCAGAAACCCAGAAAAGACGGCCGGTTAAAAAACAAGAAAAGAACGATGGTTGAAAAGAATGGAAAAGGAATCAAGCCCTAGAAAAATGGCAGGTGTCCGTGTCCGAGGTCCCTTGAGGAATTGGTCGGGGTACTCCTTGGGGTTGAGAGCCATCGACGATTCGAGCGATTCCCGGCCGCGAAAGCCCGTGTCCTTTTCAGAACCCCCCCCCCCGAAATGGCGAGTCGGCCTTCCTTTTAGTCTCCCTTGGACCCCAAACCTGGCTTGGGATTTTGTCGGTCTTCCTTTGATTTCCCTTTGACCCCAAACCTGGCTTGGGACCTCCAAAATGGCGTCGGTCTTCCTTTTGGTTTGCCTTTGTCCACGAACAAAATGGGCGGCTCCCAGGTCCGGAAAACCCCAGCTTTCAGAACAGGGCCCGTTCCAAAGCACCCCCCTTCCGCCCCTTCCGCCCAGCCTTCCCCCCCCCTTCCCCCCCCTTCCCCCTTCCCCCCAGCTTCCCCCCCCTTGAGCCGCTTGGGCCGCCCCGCCGCGGCCATCTCCTCCTCCGTCTGGAGGCGCAAGCTCCGCGGCAGGCGGCAGCGCAGGAAGCCGCGGAAGGTCACCCGCAGCGATCTCAATGCGAGGACGGGGGAGGTGGTTACGGGTGGGAGACCTCAAGCCTAGGGTTTCACCCAGATGGAGGGGGTTGCCTTCAAAGGGACCTGGAACAGAGGGTGAATTGGGATACAACCTCTGGTTGGCAAAAACACCTGGCAATGTTCAACTAGGTCCTCCGGTAGAGAGGTTAGAATAAGGGTACCCGATGTTGTTTTCGTGTTTTTTCCCCCTGTAGTCTATTCTAGTAGGGGAACCCTCCCCCAAAAAAGGATAAAAGGGCACTACTGGGGACCTTGCAAAGAATGGCCCAAGGGGACAAATTTAGATGAGGACAATCCCTGGGCAAACCATGGTGGTCATATGAATCCCCAGTTGTTTTAATGGCGGTTTAAACCCCAGGGTCAAGCTACGGCCACGGGGTGGGGGGGGGGTCATCTAAAAAACGCACCCCCTCCACTCGCCTCACCGGTGCGGATGCCAGACTGTTGAATTCATACCTTCAGAGATGAACGGAACTGGGCTGCCCTCAGATGCCCGCCAAAAGTTTAACTTTTAGTAGGTTAAATGGAAACTACCGCTAAACACTAACAGGCTAAACAGCTAAGGATGCGGATGGCTGGGAGCCACCAAGCGGTTGTATTCGATGATTGTTTCTGTACCCCACACGTCTGAGCGCTGGGCTGGTCCGGATCTAGGACTCGGAACCTCGGCGCTTTTCGGAGCTTCTGTGACGCAAACAGGTCTAGGAGTGGCGTCTTACCAGGTGATGCTTCCTTGGCTTTCCAAAAATGACACCGCCCAAAGAAAGGCAAGGGCATCCTGCAAAAAAAAAAAAACGACATTTGATCGGAGAAGGTGAAACACATTGACACAACAACCAAGGTGAACAGGCGCTTCGGACAAAATTGACCGCCAACAAAAGCGGGCTCCTCTATGCTGGCTGCCCGGACTCGTTTCGAAAGCCGAGAACTATTTCACGTGGCCTGGGATTCTCCCAAAGGTACGCTTCAACCCCTCGTTCTCCTTGGCTTTTCCAGGAATGAACCCCCCAACAGGCCCCCTAGGAGCCCAGACAGGTTCAACGGACTTGCGGACTTTGGCTCGACCTCTTTCAGATTGCAACTACTTCGGATTCGACAAATGATGGCATCCCCCTCACACAATGCTGTAAGTCTCCCCAAGTCTCCCCACGAGCCACTCGCTCGGATGCTAGGCGAGAACTCTTTGCGTCCCCCATGATCTGATGATCTGAGAAAACCAGGATACCCCCCTTCACACCCGAGTCGGTTTTTACATGTGTCCTCCTATCCAACAAAACACAAAAACTGCGTGGCCCACCTGGGAGACATTCCTTTGAGTGGCTTGGATGGTTCGGAGCGCTTGCGGCCGCATTGAGTCACAATCAAAACCCGCAATTAACATACAATTTGCCAAAATCCATGCGGATTCGATTTAAGGCGGCAAGTAAACTACCTACCCAAATCCACGTAAGGAAATTCAAAGGCGTCCGCACGTACTCAGCTGACTGGGGAGTCTCCCCAATCCGACCACCTACCCGGACCTTTTTTCCAGCACATGGAGAGATGCAGCTCTGGGAAACCCGGGCCAGGCCCTCAGCGGGTTCCCGTGCAGCTCGGTGAGCGCCTCGGAAAAGCGGAAAAAAAGGAGAAAAAAAGAGGCCACGAGGTACAAAGCGAGGACCCCTACAAACGATCATGGACACCCCCGAAGAAACTGCTCAAAAAGCAAAAGAAATCGGGGCCGTGTTTTTTTTTCATTTCTTTTTTTTTTTGCTGTTCCCATCCCGAAAATTGGATCGTTTGGATTTGGCATGGGAATTCCGCGAACTGTAGGTAGTCGGCTTCCCCTTGTTTGGGGGCTTGAGTTGGCGGTCTACACATTTGCGGGTGCCCCCCCCACAAAAAAAATCCAAGCCAACGGGTATTGTTGACCCCAAGTTTATCAACCAACAAGTTGATTCATTGGGGGGTTTTCCCCGGGTGACATGTGGAGAACCAGACCACTTCTGGAGGGGAACACCCGGAACACCCCGCTATTGATAAGGGGTTGATGAATTTGGGTCAGCGTTGCAAAGGTTGCAAGTACCCCCACCCCCCCACCCCACCCCACCCCCTACAATTGAACATGAAACCCCAAAAAACCACTGGCCCGGTTCCCAATCCTAGAAAGAATATGGAACGGGCCCGTTTCCCGATCCTAGAAAAGCAGCAGGTTTTGGAAAACACATGGGAATTCTTGAGCTCTAGGCGGTTGTCAGCTTCCCCTGGTTTGGTGGTTTCTGGCGGTTTGGACATCTGGAGCCTCCTTGATCGAAAATTGCAGTTTGGAAAACCATTCGTAAGTTGCCGTTTCAGGTTCCAGGGTGAAAGTAGGCACACTTGCCGGTAGCGGGTTCGTAAAGGATGTGCCTATATAAACAACACTTGTGGAGTCGCGCCATCTAACTTCGACCCCACTCCTCGACCCCACTCTCAGGGTTACACATAGGACATAGGATCGTTTCCCCACCGCAGCTTTTCCCCAAGAATCCCACCATGGTTCCACGTCGTGAGACCACGACTTCCCAGGGTCTTCCAAATCCAAAGCCGCCAGGCTCGCTGATCTCTACACTCAGTCGCCCAAAAAGACCTGGAAATTAAAGGTTAACCTTTTGGGACCTTTACTAAAGATAGACCAAAATTGGAAAACCAAAAGGTCAAAAGGTCGGCTTTGGGCAAGTGAGTGCACCTTCCATGAATGAAAGCCACGTGCTCGACCCGAGGGCCCATGGGGTCCCTCCGCCCACTTCTCGCAGGCCCCGGCAGAGCGGAAGGCATGGAGCTGCCCCGGCCGCGTGCAGAAGTACACCGGGGGCGACCTCGGAGCGCGACTCGGCCAAGCGACGGGATGGCCCCGGATGGCTATTGGGGGAAGGGCGGGTGGGTGTTGCTTTTGCGGATCGCGGATGCGCGGAGCAACTGCAGGGTAATATTGCCTTATAAAAAAGACACGCTGCCACATGAGGAAATCTTGAGGGATACTTTTGGGGATATCTTGCGGGTGCCTGCTTTAGGGCACGTAATTGAGCCCTAGAAGAACTCGTCCACAGAAATCCGAAAAGCCTCCACACATGTCCAGCTTGAGAACGCTGAGTCCCTGAATGTTAGTTTCAGTATGGCGACCTGTGCCAAAAAGGGCACGGTTCGGCAAGGAGATCGAGCGTGCGCGCTTGGAAAGGGGATCCCAGCTTTGGCACTCAGAAATCGGTGCTTTAGACCCTCAACATGCTGGGTCTAATGTCGTATGTCGTAACTAGAGCACGAACCCGATAGAAAAATATGCTGCAATCCCGGTGGCTACAAACCTTGAGTCTTGGCCCCAGCGAGATCCGAAGCGTCGGTTCGAGCGAACCGCCGAAAGCTGAAGCCCGGGTCTCCGTAGAACTTGTCGAGCTCGAAGCTGACCCAAGCCATCCGAGCACTCCGATCGATGAGTGGGCGCGCAGACTTCACCAGGCCAACACGTCCAGAGGCCACAAGGCCGGACCGCCGGACCCCCGGACCAGAAAAAGGTGAAGCCGGCGCCGGGGTGGCGCTCTGATGACCCCGGATTTTCATCAACCCCTGTGTCTTGTGGGGGTGTTGGCCTCCAAAGTGATGCGGCCCACTAAAACCAGCACCCCCATATGAGTACACAGGGGTTCTACTTAGATCCGCGGTCCACATTATGCCATGCTACTTCTTTTTGGCCAGCCCCCTTCAATTCGAAGTCTATCCACATCACATAAACGGCCGATCCCCTCGCTCAACACACCAAGCCAGGATGGTGGTAAAACAATTGCTTCTATGATACCATTGGTTCAGCTTGCCCCTAATTGGTGCTTTGAATTGTGGTTTGGAGACTGGGGGGGGTACGGTGGTTTTGCACGAACCCTGTACAAGAACCCGCGGTTCAATTCCCCAAATCACCAATCCAAACACCCAACAAATGGGTACCTGAGCAACCCTGTATCTGAGCAAATGCTTGAACATAAAAGCAACATAGGAAACTGTACGGCCAGGTGGGAGTACTACCAGCTAGTCAACAACAACACAGTAAGTAGCAATGATGACATTAAATGTTGCCGCTGCAATTGTTGGCAAACAACAAGCCAGTTAGGAACAAAATGCAGTAAGGGCGTAAATATAGTTAGAATGGGGAGGGGGGATACTATTAAACCAACTTTGCTAACTGAATAATCTTAGCAATTGGACCCCCGGATTTATAAACCCTGGTTGATGCATATTGGGGGTGTACCTTTTTAGTGGAAATCCTTCGCTTTTGCAGGTGACACCCCCACTAGATGGTTATATTTTATTCATTCGGGGTTACATATTCCACTTCAGGAAAATAAATATACTGCCCTACAAGCTTGTAATATATTGGCATATGGGTATGCATGTTAATTAATTAGGGACCCTTTGGTGGACATCATTCAGGTGGGATTTATGTCCGCCAACCAATACAATTCATAGCCACACAAAACTTCCATACCAACAGAATCCCATGCCAACCGCCCTGAAAACGGGCCGCATGTGACGATGTTGGCGCTTTGGGGCCCGGCCATTTCCGCAGGAATCGAAGGTCTTGGACCTCCAGACAGTTGTTGTTTTTGTTCGGGAGTTGGGTTCTTCATGTTGCTTCCTCGTAAAACCCAGCAAAAACACGGTGCCCTCAAAAAGACAGCCATGGAAATTCCGACTGTTCGGCTTGCGACGTGTTGCCACAGTTTTCTTTCAAAAGGATCCCTTCTTTTCTTTTCGCCTGCGAAGCATGATAAGCTGGCGTAGAAAAAAAAGGCTTGCCCAAAATCGTGCGAAGCACTGGTTGGTGATTGGACACCTCCGTCTGCTCGTATTTAAACAAATGAAAAGACAAAATGGGCACTGTAGGGTCCCAACACCTTACGTACTATGTGAGGTCTTTGGGGGTCAACGGCCAGATCCCCCAGCAGATTCTCTCGCAAGCGGGACGCAAGCGGGAAGCTCTGGCAGGATTTCTTGGATTCATGGCGACGCCACCACGTTAAGGCAAGGAAGCCTCCGACATCTTCATCGTTTGCGGCGTCAAAATATTTCACACCCAGAAAGACCACTCCCCAAAGCACAGAAAAAAAAACATGTGACATGTATGCATCCTCTGAAAATCTCTGAAAGCATCCAGGGCTCTGACGCTCAATCTTTTCATTCAAGAGGATCTCTTTGTGGACCCATGGCCAACGGCCACCAGGTATTTTTGAAATGTCCCAATGAAACTCAGGGACTGGGACAGGCTTGGGTTGAAAGGCCGTGAAAGCGCGTGCGCCTTTTTGTTGGGGGGGATTTCTGAAAGAGCCAAGAGATCCCACGAGTCAGTGAGGGTATCTGGGAGCAAGCTTTGCTTGCAGAGAGCGTTGCCTTCCATCTCTACTCTTGGTATGGTAGCAAAACACTTTGTTTCTTGCAGACCCCCAGTAAAAATGAACAGAACCAAAAAACTAACAAACTAAAAAACATGCCAAGAACAATGACTCTGCTGGCTTGGTCCAATCTTGCCATTTGCAAAATGCAGATTCTTCGCATTTCTCTTTGGGTGCTGTGCTACTAAGCCTCACTGACTCGCAATTCTTGATCGCATTTTGCGTGGTTTCCCCTTTCAGGGTGTCCTCCATGCCCCTTGTTGGAACCTCCAAAGGTGGCAATTTCAACACGGGAAAACCGCCAGAAATTAATCCGCCCTATTTGGGGAAATCCACTAAACCCCTGCTATTTGGAGCCCAGGGCCAAAAGCCGCAAGCCGCCCGCCCCAAACCCCCGCCCCCGCCACCCCCAAACCCCCGACTCAGGGCATGGGCCGACACTGTGGACGCATTGAGGCGGCCTCAACGGTCGATGGCCATCGACGCCATTTCAATCGAGAGCAAAAAGCACTCGGTTGCTTTCACTCTGCTCCAGCCCTGCAAAAAATAGTTTAACTTTTAGTGGTTTAATGGAATACCCATTGGTAGTCCTAACATCCAAGCAAATGCAAAGTCCACTTGGCACGGGGTGGAGGAATCTGGGGATCGTAGTCTTCCAAACCCTTCTCGTCCACTGATTGCTGGAAAGAAGGTGCTAAGATGCTCGAACAAAAATCTTCCCCCGAAGGGAAAGGGCACACGAGCAGTGAGTCAGTGACCTAGCCAAGTCTTCCAAATCTATGTGGCGGCCAAGGGACGCAAGGGTGGTGAGCGGGGGGGGGGGGGGGGCAAAACCAAAATACGACACTCATCAGCTTCTGAAGGGGGGGGAGCAACAGCGACATCCGAACAAACAAAAAGAATTGGCTGAGCGCACGCATTCCCTCAATACCAGGAACTGCACCGGAAATCCTGCCAGCCTGTCATACGTGACACAAAAATCAAACCTGCGTAGAACAGCCTGATGAATGTCCGGATCTTTCTCCACCCGCTGTCTGCCCAACCGACATACCCCCCCTGCTGCCAACATGAAGCTAAAACGCGCACCCATGCGGACTCTGTGCAGGACATTGCAGGACTTGTTCTTGGTTTGCTTTTTTGGGGGGGAGGGGAGGGACTTAAGCCCCCTGAAAAAAAAATATAAAACAAAATCCAGTAGTCATAGATTCCCTTTAAAACCAACAGGGAAAAACACATATTTCAGCAAATGGAACTCCTCGCGCCGCTTCCATCCAATTCCTGGGCGTCCCGGCACAGGAGCTCAAACAACTTCTTGCCGGAACCCTGGCGAAAGCCACAAAGCGTCACAAAAAGAAAGAAAACACATGCCCTTTTCAAAAGTTTCGCCCCCCAATGGAATCTGCCAGGAGTCTGGAAGACTACTTTACTTTTGAGTGGGGAAATAGTCGCTGAAGGCTATCGATCCAACCCAATAGCATTTGCTCGGAGTACTGGACGAATTACATGACACCGGTCGGAACTCGCCTGAGTCGAAACCAACGCCTGGTTCCAATTTGGCGTACACAAACCCATGTGAAGAATCAAGAGGGCGGATCCGGAAGCTTGTCATGTTGACGTCTGCCCCTCACAAACCCAGTCTTCCCACCGGTTTGACAAGACCTCGGGTTCAGCGCCCCTGAGGATGCTAGAAACGATTGGGAACTCCCCTAATATTCTGCCGGGCTTCTAGGGGTTGATTCCCGATTCTGTTCGGCCATCGTTCTTTCCAAAAACCTGCCGTGTTCCCTAGGTTTCCGGAGGTCTAGAAGGATTCGGATCCCTGGAAAGAATGGACATGGAAGGTGCCCCTAGGTTGCCTACTCCCCACCGCCTCCCCAATCCCCAACCACTCCTCGTACCCAGCCGAGCTCGCCGCCCGCGCGAACCTCGAGGATCAGACTTGGGCTGGGGGAGGTTCCCCCAAAAAATCAAAAAGATCAAAGCATTTTTTGGCCATGGGTCAAAACCCAAATCGTACCCCCAGTGAACATCCCAATCCCCACTAAAATAGTTTCTAGAATGGGTGGTGAATTCACCTAATTACCCCAAAATGGTACCATTGGTTTTGACCCGCAGCCATATCGGAGGGTGGGCATGACGTTTTTTTTTCTCCCCCCCCCCACGCAGGGAGAAGACCAAAGGCCATATTTGTCGCACAAAGCCGTCTGGAACCTTCAATTAAAGAGTCATCATAGGAGCAACCATGCTCGAATTGTTTTGCCCCTGATGTTAAAGACACACCTGTTGGGTTTCCAGACGTGGGTTCTAACTTGGCGGGGGTTGACATACAAGCGAGTACATTCGGCCTTTGACGTAGGAAGTGCCCAGAATTGGTGACCACCCTGTTTCAACTGCGGCAACCAAACTAAGCCTATCACTGCTGGAGCCCATGTTAAGATGGATGGTAGGGAGGTCATCACCCCTCATGCTTTCCAAGCACCATCCCCCTTACACACACAAACAGTACAGAGGGACTGTGACAAAAGGAAAATACAAGGAGCTGAAGAGTGACTAAGATGATTTTCTCCTGGGCGTAACTTATTCT